GCTCTTTCTCCTCTCGGACAGGTCTGAATCCACTCGTTTTCCTGATGACTTCATAAGACACAGAATCCCAAAAATGTCTGCTTGACTCCTCTAGGCTAGGTACTTAAGGCTTGTTAAATGAACAAAAATGTCAAGGAAACATCAGATAAATGAAGACCTCCTGGCTGTTTTCAGTTTATATTCTTATGTTCACTTTCAAACATGAGAGAGAGAGAGAGAGAGAGAGAGAGAGAGAGAGAGAGAGAGAGAAAACCTACTTAAACACTGGGTTCTCATTTCTAAATGACTAAATAAGAGTAGATTGGAAGTCTAAGTGGAAGACTCCATTCATTTGGCAATTATGATGCTTAGAATGACTCCTAGACACTAGGATTGGACCCCCATTCTCTACTAACTCAACCCCGTGACCCTAACTATGTTTCTTTACATTTTTATGCTTTGATTACCTCACCTGAGAAATGGCACAAGTACTTATTTCAAGGAGTTGGTATGTGTACAGGTGCCTCTATTGTATTCTGACTTCCACTCCTTCAGACAGCTCATCTGTCTCTATGAATTTACTTACTCTGGATATTGCATTGAAAATGGCACCACACTATATGCAATGGTGTGCTTGTGTCTGGCACGCTGTTTCAAAAGTGCTGGTTCCTTTGGAGAGTCTCTTTTTAAACGTGCTTGTACGAACATCTTGAATTATTTTCCAGGAGAAGGAGCGTCCTTCTCTTTCTATTCAATAGTAAATCAGGTGTAACTTTCCTTGTGTTGTTTCTCCATCAGCTCTCTCAACTTCCACCAACTCAGAAGATGTTAACCACAGAATGAAGTCATCAGGTAAGTCAGTGTGCCTTGAGTTAAAACAAAAGCTAGGTGTGATATATTGCATGGGCCACATGTTAACCCCACAGAGAAGAGGAGTTGATATTTGGGAAGAGGGGAAACGTCCCTGCTGAACAACGTAGAGAGAATGTGTGAGGCTCAATGTCACCTGTGCTACCAGCCTTTAACACCAAAAGCAAAGGTGTCATCATGCTCATCACTATGTCCTGGGCCTACATCAGCATGCTTGGCACATCATGGGCACTGCACAAATAGTCATTGAATGAATGAAAGGACATGCAAATAGTGCGTTGTGGAAAGGGCATTTGGCCCCTTGGGGTGCAGCTTCAGTCTTGGCCAATGCATTAGTCAATCAGCTTTCTAATGATGTGACACTACCTACCTGAGAAAAGCAACATAAGAGTAGGAAATACAGTTGGGAACAGATGGCCCATGCCTGTAATCCTAGCTATTTAGGAGGCTGAGATCTAAGGATCGCAGTTTGAAGCCAGATAGGCCAGAAAGTCTGTAAGACTCTTATCTCCAATTGGCCACCAAAAAAGCCAGATGTGGAGCTGTGACTCAAATGATAGAGTGTTAGCTTTGAGCAAAAAGAACAAAAAACAAAACAAAAGCCCCCACAAAATCAGCTCAGGAACCAGTGCCCAGGCCCTGAGTTCAAGCCCCAGGATCATCAGCCCACACACACACAAAGGAGTAGGACATACTGATTTTAGTTCATGATTTCAAAAGTGTTAGTCCATAATCCCTGGGCTCTGTTGTTTCTGTGCTTTGGTGAGGCAGCATATATGATAGGAACCATCTGTTTCCACCATGATTCTTGGGAAACAGAGAAAGAAAAAGAGAGAAGGATGGACATACAAAGAGGGGGTGCGGAGTGCCCTTACAGGGCAAAATCACAGAGATCTACTCCTCCAGCTAGACTTCCTTAAATTTCCACAGTCACCCAATAGTGCTCTCAGATGAATCCATTCGTGAGATCAGAGCCCTCTTAAGCGATCAGTTTCCCTGACCCATCTGCCTTCAGCGGACATTACAGATCCAGATTATAATAGCCAGGAATAATCCTTCTAGACAGGGAGTCATGGTGGCAGACCCCCCCAGCACAGCAGCACTCTGGAAGATGCCAGTGTCCTATTTGTACTATTCTCCTTATTCCAAAACAAATTTTTAGCAAACTAATAAAGTCAGATGCTTCTAACAGATATTATTTACATTTTAGTTCCAACAGAGAACAAAAAAATTACCAACTGTCTTATCAGGCAAGACTGGTGACTTCTCTGTTAGCCCCCTGGGTATGCAGCCTCTCTGTCAGGTGGGATGAACTGAGCTGGACCACTCGCTAGGCTGTGTGATGACCTTGGCAGAGTGATCAAGGACAATTAGCATTTTTATGACTGAAGGGTTGTTCAGTTTTTGGTCCAATTCTTCAATGACTCATCTTACTGCTACAGAACCTGGAATTAATTCAGAATTAAAAGGGAAGAAAGGCACTTAGAAGGGTTCTGTCAGACTTCTGAAGTTGACACCATCCTCCTCATAAATCTGTCAGCACCTTTGGCTCAATTTTAGGCATATTATTCAACAACAAATCCAAGTCTTCATTTCATTTGTGAGCTAAAGAGAGAAAAATGTTTAGCAACAATTTTTTCTTCAAAAAGAGCAATCTGCAGTGCTTCAAATCTATTAAGTTCAGTAAAAGCTATATTTTTGAAAAATTTACGAACCAATAGATACTTCTAGGATCTCTAATACCCAAAACAAATGCAGAACATGTTTCAAAAAGATGATCTTCCTGCTGAATTAATGCACTAAGATTCTAGGATCTCTACCCAGAATAATCTGGTATGGTAAGACCAGGAACCAAAATGTCTTTCTTTTCTCTCCTCTCTCTCTCTAAATCCTTTACTTCCTTCTCATATGTCAATCCTGTCTCACTTTCAACCTTATCTTCTGTACCTTCAGCCCAATTTCAACCTTATCTTCTATATAAAGGATTGAATGAACTCTAATAAATAGAATCAGTAAAAGAACTCTATAAAAATTAAGTGTGATCCAGTGCTATATAAAATTTATAGTGCTAACTACAGTTAAAATGTCAGTTAACATCTGTTTAAAAGATTTTTCTCTGCTTTTCTTACCGAAACACAGTATTTCCCACACCAGTACACTCACAGTGAAATCCTCTTGAATGGATCATAAACTACTGGATAAAAATGGTCCTTGGTTTGCATTGTAAAATGTATTCTCCTGAAATCTTTTTACTGAGGGACAGATAACCCTAATCAGCTTTTTAAAACTCAACTCCATAAATTAGAGTATTGGCATTCTTTGTGGAATTTCTGTATAGGACTTCCGTATCGAAGTGCATTTAAACTGTTTGGTTAAATAATGACAATGATGACATAAAAGAAGAAGAGGCCCAGCAGTTCATTATGACTGTGTGGCCAGTCCAGATGTTCAGGTTTAGGGGTGACTGAGCTGGTAGCTCTTAGGCGGCTGCAAATTGAGTCCTTTGCAGATGTGTCCCAGGTCAGTCTCAGAAAAGAGACTTCCGGATCTGACCTCTATTCCTGTATCATTCCAGGCCTACCCATGGCTGACTCACTATCTGCCAGCGGTGGAGGCAATTCACCAAAGCTCAGATCCCCAGGTAAGCAGCTTCCCCTAGGAACCTACTAGGTCCTTGTGAACCACAAGGATCAGTCTTTAGAGTTGCATTTCCTAGAATGTTACATAATGGAATCAGTACCTATATTCAGATCCTTTGCTCAGCACAATGTAATTCCATGCATAAGATATGCATTCCTTTTTATGGCCAAGCAGTACTTCACTGTACAGATGTACCATTTGTTTGTCCATTTATAACTTAATGAACATTGAATTTGTTCCTGACTTTTATTATTAAAAATAAACCTACTGGGCTAGGAAGGTGGCTCAGTGGTTGAGTGCTTGCCTTGCATGCATAAGGCCCTGGGTTCGATTCTTCAGCACCACATAAGCAGAAAAAGCCGGAGGTGGTGCTGTGGCTCAGATAGTAGAGTGCTAGCCTTGAGCTGAAGAGCTGAGGGACAGTGCCCAGGCCCAGAGTTCAGGCCTCATGCCCGACAATAAATAAATAAACCTGCTGGACATTCATGAACAAGTTGCAAATGATTTTTCCATATGTCTTTCCATTTGTCATTCCCACTGACAATATATAAGAGTTATAGCTGTTCTGAATCCATGTCAACACTTAAAATTGTCTCTACTAATGAGAAAATCGTGATGCTTCTTTATGGCTTTAATTTATATTTTTCTTTTTCCTTCATTCTTTTCTATAAAACTTCTTTATTGTTATTATAAAGGTGATTTACTGTTACATAAGTAAGGAAAAGAGTACAGTTCTTTTTAAACAATGTCACCTCTTCCTTCGCTTTGTCCCAGTTTTTCCTTCCTGCCTCTGCCCACAAGTTGTATAGTTCATTGTCATCATAGTGTCTAGTGAGAACCACTGCTTCATTTGTTCGCCCTTTGTCCCTGTATTTTTCTAAAGACCAATGATTTTCCAGCCCTCCTCCCTACCGCTGAGCCTGAAGAGGCTGCTGTGGTATGCACATCCAGGTTGTTCAAATCTTTGGGTCCTATGGGTCAGGATGGTTATTTTCTGAAAGTGTGTTAGCAGTCCTTCATGATAGCCAGAAGCACGGAGCTAAGCAGGATCAGAAAGTTAATAAAAGTGGAGTAAGACACTTATTTCATCATTTGGAGTTCTTTAAAAATTCCTTTTCTTAGCTGGATATGGTGGCACACAACTCTAATCCCAGCACTCAGGAGGCAGAGACAGGACAATAGTGAGACCCCATTGTAAAAAACAAAAAAGACAAGTTATTGATCAGTGATGATTGTCAGAAAATTCTCATAGTACAAACTGATTCATGGTCTTAGAAACAATGAAAGTAGTTAAACAGGAAACACATGGCTAAATGGGTGCTTTTTGTAGGCAGAGGTAAGCCTTTCCCTTTAGACACACAGATGCACAGGAGTTTTTGGCAGCTTCATTATGAGTTCCGCTTCATGTTGCAGCCAGAAGGGGAAGGCAGTGCATTCCCCAGGGATGAAGGAGTAAGATGGTAGAAAGGGCAGGAGGACACGGGGACGTTCTTTCTTCTGTGTCCTTCTATCAGGACCCCAGCAGCACAGGTTTCCTTGAATGGGAGAAAATGTGATCCAAGAAAGAAAGGCAAGGAAATCCTGGTTGGTAGCATTCACAGTGAGGTCTCCTCATTATATCCAAGCAGGAGACCTCCTGCATGACCAACTGCTAAAGCAAATTAAATATTTTTATATATCCAGGATAATTCTACAGGTCAAAGGGTGGTCAGCCATAAAGCAATAGATTCCTCTTCCCCCAGATAAAAAGTTTAAATGAGTGAATTGGATTTTTACCTGCCTCGCACTCAACCAACCATTTTAGCCAACTACTGCTTGAGAGCCTAGTTACTTAGCACAAATGAATCCCATAATCAAGAACCCAAAGATAGTTCGTTTAATGTTTCAAGAGATGTTTTTTGTCAGTCATGGGGCCTGAACTCTGGGCCTGGGCACTGTTCCTCAGCTCTTCAGCTCAAGGTGAGCGCTCTACCACTTGAGCCACAGCGCCACTTCCAGCTTTTTGTGTTTATGTGGTGCTGAGGAATCAAACCCAGAGGCAAGCTCTCTTCCACTGAGCCACCTTCCCAGCCCTCATGATTTATTAAAAAAAAGAGAGGGAAAAGAGAAAAGGCAGTGGCTGGAAGTCCAGTGTGAGTGCTGCACTGCATAGGTAGCATGGAAAATTCACAAACATATGTGGAATAGAGGCTTGGTATTTTACCAGATGTAGTGTCTCTATGTGGGGAATTCTGAGACGTACCTAAGAAAGAATGGGCATGGTACCAAAGACACTCCAACTTGGGTTAAATAGGCATTTGAGTATACTAAAACAGAGGGCTCATCTCCACATAAATAGCCTGCTCCCTTCTGCTGTGAGTCTCACTTCACACGGCCTTCCCTGTCATAGCTGGACCCTTCTGAAGAACCATGGGTCTTGTTCTGAAACTCCTGTTGAGTGGAGCTCAATTTCCTTCAGGAAGCCCTGCTATAAAAGCAGGTGACGGGCTGGCTCAGTGGTAGAGTGCTTGCCTTACATGCATGAGGCCCTGGGTTCGATTCCTCAGTACCACATAAGTGGAAAAAGCCAGAAGTGGCACTGTGGCTCGAGTGGTAGAGCGCCAGCCTTGAGCTGAAGAGTTTTGAGGTACAGTGTCCAGGCCCAGAGTTCAGGCCCCACGACCAACATGTGTGACATGGCTGTCCACACAAAGTATCCACTGTAAAATTCCCAGAGCATTTCTTATGCTCAGGTTGCTCACCATGCACTTGCTCATCTGATTTATAAACCTCTTGATTGGGGGAGATGTTGGAACATTCACCTCCTTTTACCCAGAAAACAAACCAAGTGCCTTGCAGGTAGTAGGCATTTAGTGGTTTTCTTTGAATAACAGATCCTAATATTGACGGCAACCAAAAAAAAAAAAAACCTACAAAAAATTGTGATTGTTTTTAAAGCACATTTTGTCATTGTAAAAATCTTCCTAAACAGATTGTGACACACTTCAGTATTCACCAAAGGCAGCACAGAAAATCTCAATGCCCTTTGAAATTTAGTATCTTTGCTTCTTGTTGGTGACAAGTAGACTTGATGCTCAATAGCTAACAGCTCTGTCATATCAAGCTATAACCCCTATTTGTCCAGAGACTGAAGAGAACCTCTCTGCCGCCAGGCAGAGGCCAGGCCTCAGTGTCCCCTCCCTCTGTGTCCCCAGGAGCCTGGCTGGAGGTGAGGCTGGTGAATGGCACAGGGAAGTGCTCAGGTCGTGTGGAGGTCCTCTTCCAGGACACGTGGGGGACGGTGTGCAGTGACCTCTGGGACCTTACTGAGGCCACCGTAGTGTGCCGCCAGCTGCAATGTGGCCAGGCAGTGTCCGCCCCCAGGGGGGCCCACTTTGGAGCAGGCTCTGGGAAGATCCTGCTGGATGATGTGCAGTGTGTGGGCATGGAAAGTCACCTGGGGCAGTGCACGCATGGAGAGCAGGCCGAGCCCAACTGTGGGCACCTGGAGGATGCCGGAGTCATCTGTGCAGGTGAGGGGCTGACTGGCATTCCTCAGCCCACTGCAGAAATATCGCTCTCAGGCCCCCATACACAATGCGCGCCAGAGATGGCCTAATACATGGGAGTAGAGTCTCTCCATTGACTGTGAGGTGCAGGTCTTTAACCGCATCTCCATCAAGGAGAGTTAACTTCACTTTGCTGCCCAGATGAAGTAATTGTGAATATGCCTATGGAACTTGACTGAGGACCTAGGAACACCTCCTCCTCTTCTGCCCACTTATCTTGCCAGCTGTTCACCTGAGCTCCTCAAAGGCAGTGCACTGTATAACTGTGCCCGCAGTGTTCTCCATATTTGTACCTATGTGTACAGAATATTTTGATGGTGTTCAACACCTCCATACTGCCTCCTTCTGCTCTCTCCACTCCCACTTTTAAATCAACATACAGTCAAGATACTATCTAGATTCTTACCATAGACCTTCAACATATGGCACTGAGCTTTCTGGGAACCAAAGGAAGAGAGAAAGACAATTAGAGACAAGATGGGGCATCCAGTTGCCAGAAGGAGGGCAAGTTAGTGTCGCAGAGATACCAGCAGCTTCTCTAGTCCGGGGCTGAGTGGCATGCTGGTTAGGGTAGAGGCAGGACCAAGTCACCCGCTATGACCATTTTTTCTATCCTCTCTTTTTGAAATTCGAAGCAGTCCTCCAGGTCTTATTAAATATGATATAGCATCATCAGTGCCTACCCCAAGGAAGGCAAGGATGAAACCCTCAAAGCACACCTTGGGAATTCTGGGCTCCAGTACGCACAGGGTGATTTTTTAGGTACTTGTTAAGATGTAGAAAACTCTTGGATCTAAAGTCATCCTGGATCTGAAACTCTGAGGAGAGGCCCTAAAGTCTGTGTCTCCAACAAGTTCCACAAATTGAGGCGTTTAGGACCCCTTGATTTAGGACCGAGTGCATATTTGAGACTACTCTACCTGGTTGGTGAGACTAATATGCTCTTTCTTTCTCTGTATGTTGCTGAAACCATCTTCCCAACCCATATAGGTACAAATTCTCCAAAAAATCTACCACTAGGTAAGATAAACTATATATTTTAAGACATAACAAGAATCACTTTGGCATGGGACAAATAAGAAATGATTTCCTCAAAATCAATATGCATATATCATTATTAAGTTAGCTAATTCTTGGGTACACAAAACCAGCAATTTACTTTGTATGTCTCTGTGTTCAGGAACATCTTCACTTGCATGAGTGAAAGCCTAAACCAGTCAACAAAGTTGTATACCATGGTTTCTGTGGAGGTTATGTTTGAAGAGTAGGCTTATTAGAATTTATTATATTCTTTCTGCTTATTTTATTCAATTCATCTATGAGGAATATGTGCCACTTTCGCAACTCAAATAATGCAGTTATCAACCCTAACGAGAGAAAGACTTGTCTTGTGTGCTTGCCAGGATATGGCCTCCTAGATTTGCAGACTGAAAGACTGTCTACCTCATGCCAAACTGAAGATTTGTCAGTCCTGAAGACTTGTCAGGAATCAAAACACACTTGGTCTTTTTTTCCATGGGGTTCACTCCTTAGCAGAAGAAACATATATGACATGTGACCATCCCAGTTTTATGATATTAGGCACTCATCCGGCCATGATTTCTTTTCTTGATCACATGTGTACCTGACAGGGTGGATGTGTTAGGTGAAAAGAGCCCCTAACCTGCAGGAATCTATTCCTGGTCAAATGGCCTGGGCCAGATGAATGACATTGACTCTCCATCTTCCCATCATTATAGCAGGTTCACTGGAACCCATGTTTCTACAATGTTATGCTTTTGATGTTTTGTTGCTAACAAGAAGACAACAGACACTTGGAATGATTGGATGTGAAATATGTTGGAACCAAAAAATAGAGGTCTAGACCTTAGAATAGACATTAAATAGAGCATTTCCTCAGCATTCTATGAGAACATTCCAAAATACAGTCAAGTTTGACACATATAACAATATCTAGATTCTACTTAAATTGCTAAATCTGCATCCATCTATCTCATTTTTATTAAAGCTTGATTTAAGATCCCCACCTGTCATATATTAAGATACAGTTTGGTGGGTGTTGGTAACTGTACAAAGTTGTATGGCTATTTCCATGATTATGGCAAGGTTTCCTCATCCATTTCATAGTTGGCTCTTTCTCTCTGATCATCTTGTGAGTTTCTCTACTTTGTCCAGGTAAAGTCATGATAGTGACATGTGAAGGCAGATGGCAGCCTTGTACAGCAAGTCACAGAGGACCGTTTAACCCATGAGTTTTGTTTTTCCTAGAGAACTTGTGTGTGTCAGTTTGTCAACAAGCAATAATATCATGTTCTGCTCTAAATAATAATCTTGAGGATATGAGGTCACTAGTTTCAGAATTCAGGGTCATCATTTTTCCTACTAAATCCTCAAAAGGAGGTAGACACCATCTGGCTGCTACCATATCTCCTCTCTCATGAGTTGTGACAATTCCCTGATGACTGTATTTCAGAACTCCAAAAGAACCTGCCTCCCACATCTTCTGTGCTATCAGTGGCTGAACACTCACCTTCTACTGCACCGCCAGGTAGGGCTGGGTCTTTGTGTATTATACCTTGGGAATGGTTACTTCATCGGACAATAATGGCTGAATGCGTGTGGATTATTCGGGATGTGCAGTGAACAAAGCAGACCTTCGAGTAAGCTAAGTCCCCTGGGGCTTTGCAGCAGCCTGGGGAACAGTGAATGGAGAGTGCAGGTACTGTGGGTGCCCCAAAGAGGGTTTCCTTCCAGACCCAACCAGTCAGTCAAGAAGAAACAAAGTCTAACCCAAGATCTGAAGTGTGAGGATATAGGCAAATGTACACAGACAGACAGACTTCCTAAAGGCCACAGGGTGAGGGACATTAGTCTACTTGTCAGATTAGACCCTACGGCCGATAGCCACATAGTCAGTGAAGAGAGAAGTGGTTCGAGTGATCTAGAATGAGTCATATTTAGGGCATGCAGCCTCAAGTAGGATCTTACGTTCCCTTAATCTAGTGGTGCAGCTATAAATCGCAGAAGAAGAACAAAATGCAACTGTCACAGCCCCAGACATTGAGAGAATCCTTGTGGCCGAAGTGCCCAGCAGGTGCTGCGGGTCCTAGCTTTTGTCCATTGCCTTGGGAATGTGAGTTTTCACCAAAGGTGCCATCATTGGCGCAGTAACTTTTAGTTGTCTGTATTACATGCATAGCTGAAGACTGTCTGACCTAGGACAGCCTCCGTCACCTGGCTGTCGCCTGAGTGACAGGTCCTCCATCACCCAGTAGACTAGCTTAAGTTCATCCAGGTGATGCTGTCAGAGGCCCTAGGGAGAGAATTGCAATCTGAGCAGCCTCACAGATGCTCACTGAAGGGGTAGCTGCACAGTGTGTCTGCCATATTATCACAGCCAACATGGTCCAAAGGCTCCCAGCCCTGCATCATTGGGTGGGGAAAGAAACCAGCCTCTCAGCGGGAAGGCTTCAATGTCTCACTGCAAAGAGCAAAGGCAGGGAAGAAAATGGTTGCCATTTCTCTAATCAGCTCATGATAGGCCAGTGATCTCACAATAGTGTATGGACAAGGAAGATACCATAGGCTTCTTAGGGCAGACATGCTGGAGGAATGGCGCAAGCTCCACTGGGAGGACTCTAACCAAGAGTAGGGTAACGAGCAGAAAGTCTGCCATCGGCAGTCAGAGGGAGAAGCTGTCTCTCACTGGTCGCCCTGCTCTTGTCCAGGAGGCCCGGCCCCTGTGCGGCTGGTGGGCACCCACACACATTGTGCAGGTCGTGTGGAGCTTTTTTACCAAGGAGTCTGGGGGACCGTGTGCGATGACCTCTGGGACCTTCCACAAGCACACGTCATCTGCAGGCAGCTGGGGTGTGGCTCGGCCATTTCTGCTCTTGGTGAAGCCCACTTTGGGGAAGGTTCTGGAAAGATCGTCCTGGACAATGTGCACTGCCACGGACACGAGGAGCACCTGGAGGAATGTGCCCACATTGGGCTGTTCTCCCACAACTGTGATCATGGTGAAGACGCCAGTGTGGTCTGTTCAGGTAAAGCCCTGCCCCCATCCCAGGCAGAGCCCAGCTGCCCTCTGGGGCAGCACCCTCCACACATTGGTGAGAAAGCCTGGGTTACTCACTCACTGAGACTGCTCTCGTTTCTCACACTGTAGATGCTGACTATCCCATGGACGACCTCCAAGGTAGGAGAGGCGACATGAATAAGTGTGCAAATTGTTTTGCTGGTAAGTACATGTGTCTCACTCTCCAAGCAAATGGAATGGCTGAGTGAGGCCTGGCTGTCCAACTGAAAGCATAGAAGCCATCTGTCTCAGCCTTGCTTGCTACCTCTCCACATGCTCCCCTGTGCCTCGCACAAACAGGAACCCGATCTTCAGTTTCTCAGACCTCTCCCTAGCGCCTTTGTTCTGCCCCTTCTGAGGTGTGCAGAGAGACAGTGCGCAATGGACACGGAGGAGGTGGTTAAGATGGGAGGTTTTAAGGGGGCCTCCAGTCCAGCAGTGACTAGCCAATGAAATAGATCTGATCGTTTTTGAGTACATCGTTTTAAGAAATGGCAGCTGATATTGTGTCAGCATCATGTAAACTGATATTGTGTCAGCATCATGTCCAGCTGGGGAACACTTAACTGGGAAAATTGAAGCAAGATTTTACTCACTAGGGAGCAATCAGAGGGACAGGTCTGGCTTAGATTCAGTTTCCAGCCCTTTTCTAACAAGCTCATGCCAATGATAGAAGAAGTCTCCAATGATATAGGAACTTCATTCATGGTCTTACCACAATTCCACATTTGCAGTACTTTATAAACTAATTTGTATCCCTACTAGATTCTAAAAGACACCCATAGAATGATCACTAGTAAAGTATCTTCAGGAAAATCATGTGAATTGTAAAAGTAGTAGCCAGAACAAAGAAAAACCTGAAATTTAAACTATTCTCTGCATTTAGACAAGCCTCAATGTGGGGGAATTATCACCAACTCATCTGGAGCAATTAGGAATCCCCCCAAAAATGAAATGCATGACAACATAACCTGTGTATGGGAAATCCAGGCAAATGCGTCTGATCACATACTGCTGGCGTTTCCACATCTTAAGTAAGTGTGAATTACATTACTTACATAAGCCATGTGGTTTAAAACTCCAGCCCACTGGTTGATTCTCATAAGCAAAGCAGTCCTTAGTGCATGCTGAACTTTTTATTTGGAAATAACTATGCACACATAGGCAATTGAAAAAGCTATACAGAGTCCCGGGCACCCCTCACCTAACTTCCCCTGTGGGTGGCATGCTTATACCTGTAGAATAATATCAAAGCCAGGATGCTGACATTGGTGTGGAACTAATAGCTAGACTTCAGAGTTTATGCAATTTGCTTCTGATGATTACATGTTCTTATTTGAATGTGAGTATGTATGAGTGTGTAGCTCCGTACTATTTTATACCATTTCTAGATGTACATGAATACTGTCACAGTTCAGACTCAGACACAAGCTGCTGTTCTCTGTCCCCTAAAGATAGTCTGTGTTCTACTCTCCCCTTCTCAGAGATCAAGGCCTGAGGGTGTGATGATGAGATTGTAATGTTAAGTATATACTTAGTGAGACTTGAATGCTTGGGCACTGTCCCTGTGCTCTTCAGCTCAAGATGAGTGCTATACCGCTTGAGCCACAGCACCACTTTGAGTTTTCTAATGGTTTATTGGAGATAAGAGTCTCATGGACTTTCCTGCCTGGGCTGGCTTTGAACGGTGATCCTCAAATTTCAGCCTCCTGAGTAGCTAGGATTACAGGCATGAGCCTGTTTCCCAAACGGATGACCATTTCCCATTTCCACCAGCAATGTAGAGAGCCAGTCTCTCCACATCCTACCTAGCATCTAATATTCCTTTTTTGTGTTAGCTGATGATATACTAAACCTATATGTTTTGTTAGACTTCTATATAGGTATTTTTACTTGTCTCTATTTGTGTGGTGGTGGTGTGGTTGAATATAAATGATGTTTTCAGTTTTATTTCTACACATTTGTTGCTCGTGAATAGAAATATGGTTAATTTTTATATCTCCATGAAATTTTAATTAAAAGGAAACTCACCTTATAGGCTTTGGAATGGGACTCTGTGTGTGTGTGTGTGTGTGTGTGTGTGTGTGTGTGTGTGTGAATAAAAGAGGAAGAGAAGGAAACAGTGACAGAGAGAGAGAGAGAGAGAGAGAGAGAGAGACTTAACCCTTAAGGAAAATCCAAATTACTTTTTACTCTTAAGTCTTGCTCAACTAAAAGCTAGTTGGGGTGTGGAACTAACTTGTTTCCGGCACTGAGGATCACAACAGCTGAAAAGACCACAAGCTTCTCTTCGCAAAGCAAGCTGAGCACATTTGGAACATGCTGCCCTCTAGGGGGCGGACTGCCAAATACGTCAATGGATTGTTTGGATCCTGGGGTCAACTCCCATCAGCTTGTCCTGCATTCAGTTCACTACCACCACCTAGAACAACAACAGCCACAACCCCACACATGGCAAATGACCTTGATTAGTCTGCTCTTGTCACAGGCTGTGGTACCTGGGGGTTCATCTGCTCCTGGGGGGTTGGCAGCGAAGCTCTTACTGCAGCCTCCTCTTGGCTGAAGTTAAGATTGCGCCTCTGTAGGTCAGGTCAGTAGCTCTCAGAGAGGAAAAGATTACAAAAAAAAAAAAAAAAAGATAAAGAATCCTCCTGGTCTTCCCTGCTCTCTCCAGCGTCCTTATAGTGTGGAAATAGATCTGTTCTCACAGCACACCTCCTTCCCTTACGTCAGGGAGACTAAGAAGCCTGTTGGGTGTTTGCTTTCCCAGCCTCGACTGTACCAATGAGTACTTTGAAGTCCTGGATGGCCCCCCCTCCTCTACGAAGTCCCTGGGGAGGACCTGCTCTGGCTACTACCTCACCTTCTCATCCTCCTCCAACTTAATGACCCTTGTGTACTTCCGAAGCTTCAACAACATAGGGAAAGTTTTTATGGCTTACTATTATTCTGCAGCCAAAGGTAAGTGGGTGGCGAGGAGCCGCGGCTCTGCACTGTTCCCCGGCTACCCTCACTTGCTCTGTGACCTTGAACAAGTGACTCGACCCTCTCCTGGCCTCAAGTTCCTCTTAGGTGACCCTTATTTCCTAGGCTTGCTGTCATGATTCCATTCAGTGGTACAAGGAATCACTTAGCAAGGGGATGGTACATCCTATTATGTGCTTGGCAATTGGCAGCTATATCATGGACTTTTTGGTTTTACATAAACATCTCATTGGAATCAGCTTGCCAGGATCTATTTTGAATCTAGTCCAAGGGTGTTTTAGGGTCTCACAAGGAGAATGTGTGGTCCTGGTTGAGAGACGCCTGAACAAAACAGAGAGAGTTCTAAAAATGCATATGGCACAACTAGAGGACATGTAGAATGTACTAGACTGATAAAAGCCAGTAGAACAAGAGGATACATCAGCATTTGCTAAATTAGCTTATTAATGCATCTTAGCAAAAGACATTGGAAGGAAAGAGGGGCAGCAATACAGATTACAAGAACTAAGAAAAAACACCAGGAGAAATCTGCATTAGCTATCACTTTATGGCCTGGTAGGCTGTGGGTAAAGAAATGGAGAAAGCACAAAAGGTCAAGGACAGTATAAACCAAGAGATGGGAGGTAGAGGTATGGTTGAAGTGTGTATAATCAAGTTCCTAAGAACAGGAATGGTTACACGATCCAAATACTCAAATAAAACATGATGTGGATTGAATGTCTGCTATATGCCAGGCAGCAGTGTAAGTTCCGTGAGTATGTTATCCTGACACAATGGTTCTCCCTCTTCAGCAGATGGAAAAGCTGGAGCTCAAGAGCTGCAGTATTTCTTTGGGGCCCTAGACTACTAACCAACATGATGTACAGGCAGAGTTCATAGAATTAATGATGTCTTCCATTCCATTCATCCGAAACACTCTTCAGAATGGTCTCCAGTGTGGTTGGTGATCACCAGGGTAATTCACAGAGCAAGCTGGGGACACATGCTATAAAAAGAGGAGCCTCTGAGTCACCAAGTGGATTTGGAAAATCACCATAATGGTTATCAGCCACTGATGCAGTTTCCTTGTATTTGCAGGGGCAGTGTTCTCCACCCCAAGTCTGATCAGTGAGTCAACCTTCACGTTGTTACTTAATCCTCATTCACCCATCCTCTCTCCTGGTGCTTTAACTCTTCTTTTTCCCTATATCAACTACCATACTGAGAGACTATTTGCAGAGTCTTTGCACAAGTACAATGCACATTTACATTGGAACCAATATGCCTCCAACAGTCAGGTTTCTGGTTTTTTGGCAATTGTCTATTTGATTTTATAATTCCATGTGCCTCATCAGTTACTACACACATAGGGAAATGAGAAAACAGAAGCCAGCATAAAGATGTCATTTTCCTCTGCAGGACTGTGAATGGTTGCGTTTTCACACATATTGGTACAATTTAAATCTTCTTGTATTTTTAGTGACTGGTCAGAAAAGTAGACTAGCATTTCCATTGGACTACACATTCCTGAGAAACAGGACTCACCTCCAAAACCTTGATTTGGGAAGTTACTTACCACACGGATAAGGGGGAGAAAGAATCAGCTCACACCTGGGCACTGAATGAAGATATATCTCAGAAAGCTGCCATTCAACTTGCCCCAGTCCCCACGTCTTTCTCATTTTCAATATGCTTTATCTATACATGGGTATACAAAGGTATTGCCATATTTGTCATTTATCAACATGTCCGTTTATGAGTATAGCACATCTTGATCAGGGCTGTCCCTTCCCTCCTTCCACCCACCCTCCCCCCCCCAGTCAAATCGTTTACCACTTCCTTTTTATATATGTACATTGAGTATTTTGACTGTATTCATCCATTCATCCACTCATCACCCACTGACAACCCCACCATTCAAAATACAGCACAACCTTCTGATTCTCATGTTTTTAGACTCTTAATTATTCAAAGGGCTGACACTGTGGAGCTTCATTCCTGCACATATAGTCACATGTATGATTTGGTCATGTATTATGCATATGCCCCTGGGCATATTTCCTGAGAGGTTGTATTTTGGGCCTTTGTTTTTCTGGGCCTAGTTTGCTTCAAATCAGTATTTTTTTCAGATCCATCATTTCCTGAAAATGGCATAAATTTTTTCTTCTTGCTGGTTGAATAAAATTTCATTATATAGATATATATTATGTAATATATTGTCATATATATTAGTATATTATATAATTATATATCATCAAAATATATGATATAATATAAAATAAACAATACTATACAGCATAATATATAAAATGAAGTTATACATATGATATATGTCACATTTTATTGATCCATTCATCCATTGTAGGGCATCTGGGCTGGCTCCATAGTTTGGCTATTGTTAATAGTGTTGCAATGAATACAGATGTGCCTTTATTGTATCTTGCCTTTCAAACTTTCAGAGATGTTCAGGAGTGGTATGGCTGGATCACAGGGTAGTTCTATGCTTAGTTTACTGAGGAATCTTTGTACTGATTTCCATAGCAGTTGCACTAATAGACATCATCACCAACAGTGTAATAGGATTCCTTTCTTCTCTGAATCCTCACCAGCATCTGTTGCTGTTTAGATTCCTGATGATGGCCATTTTGACTGGAGTGACATGGAATCTCAAGGTTGTTTTGATTTCCATTTCCTTGCGGCCAGGGATGTTGAGCATTTCTTCATCTACTTATTGGCCATTTGACCTTCTTCTGACGAGTGTCTATTTTGCTCTTTTGCCCATTTATTGTTGTGTTATTGATTTCTTCAGGATTTCAGCTTTTTAAGCTCCTCGCATAATCTTCTTATTAGACCCTGGTCAAATGTACTGTTGGCAAAGATATTCTCCCATACTGCCTACTTCCTTTTTAGCATATTGCCCATTTCCTTCACTGTGCAGAAGCTTTTTAACTTGATGCAACCCCATTTGTTGATTTTCCTCTTTGCTGAGCCTATGAAATTCTATTAAGGAAGTTCCTGCATCTGCCAATAAGCTGTAGTGTTTTCCTTGCTTCTTCTTGTAGTAATTTCAGGGTTTCAGGTCTTACCTTAAGGTTTTTGATCCACTTTGCATCGACATGGGGACAGGGTAAGAGATCGTAAGAGTCTAGCTTCAATCTTCTGCATGTGAAGATTTGGATCTCCCAGAATCATTTGTTGCAGAAACTATCCTTTATCCAATGTGTATTTGGGGTTCCTTTGTCAAATATCAGTCGGCTGTAGATATATGAGTTCATTTCTGGTTCTTCTAATCTGTTCTATGGACTCTGGATCTGTTTCTGTGACAGTAACAAGCTGTTTTTGTTGTTATTACAGCTTTCAGGACAATTTGAAATCTAGTATTATAATACCATCAGTATTGCTCTTTGTTTTGTTGGGTTTTGGTGCCTAGAATTGCTTTGGCTATTTGAGGCCTTTTGTATTTCCACTACAATGTTAAAATTGCTTTTTCTGTCTCCATAAGGAATGACATCAGGGTTTTGATGGGTATTGCATTAAATTTGTAGACTTCCAAGGACAAGTCCTCCTTTTTATTCTTATGCAAGATTTTTTTCTCTCCACAGCCATCCCAACAACAATGTCCAGGCCTGTAACAACAAACCCAAGTAAGCCCGGAAATGCACCCATCCATGTATCAAATGTCCCTTCCTCTTGACATCTGTAATTGCACCAGCTCCATATGTAGAAAATTGGAACTGTGCAGTTCACTTTGCATCTATGCAAGCTTTATGACCATTCAAAATTTTAGATTCTTCTGTCTCTAGCATCCTTAAGAGGATAAACTGACAGAGAAAAATAATGCAGGACCTCTGGACTCTGAGAACTAAAGTATAGATCTTCTAGTTACCAGATGTGGGAATTGGGGTGAATCAACTTTGCTTCTCCAACGTTCAGATCCTTTATGGATAAGATTGGCACAATATGTACTCTGCTGTTTATCCCACTGGGTTATCATCAAGTTAAAGGCAACAGCACACACATAGGAAAGTGCGTTACAAGCATCACAAAGCATTGCAAATTATTTATGTTTTCTCTGCATTTGTTGAAACAGACTGGCCACCAACCTCTGACAAAGTAGGTAGATAGTGGGTAGGCTAACTGCTATTGGCAATGCTAATGAATGATCAGATTCCAGCTGGAAGTTGACCTGTGAATGACTGTACTACTTTCTCTCTCAAATAGTAGTATAGGAGGGTGTGGCTTAGCCAGCTCTCGAAGAGTACCATGCTCCCAGATGACAAAAGTCACCAGGTCTCTGTCTGCAGGGGACTGGCCAGAGCTGCGGTTGGTGGGGGGCTCCAGCCGGTGCTCAGGCCGTGTGGAGGTCCTCTACCAGGGGGCCTGGGGCACCGTGTGTGATGACCTGTGGGACCTGAATGAAGCTGAGGTTGTGTGCCGCCAGCTGGGGTGTGGTCGGGCCCTGTCCGCTCTTGGGAAAGCCTACTTCGGCGAAGGCTCTGGAGACATCTTCCTGGATAACCTCCAGTGTGCTGGAATGGAACGCTTCCTGGGCCAGTGTGCCCACTCAGGCTGGTTGGAGCACAACTGCGGTCACCATGAGGATGCTGGAGTCATCTGCTCAGGTAACCTCTCCCCAATTTGGGTGGGCACTACTAGTTCTGGAATGCCCAAGACCACCTGCTGGCATCCAGAATCAAGCCAGGGACAAGGACAGGACCCTCAGACATGTAGCACTTGAATGTTTCCCTTCTTCCAGCTTGGTTAAACATACCAAGTTTAAGGGTGGGAAGGTGGCTTAGTGATGGAGTGCTTGCCTAGCATGCACAAAGCCCTAGGTTCGATTCCTCAGTACCACATAAACAGAAAAAGTCAGAAGTGGTGCTGTGGCTCAAGTGGTAGAGAGCTAGCCTTGAGCAAAAGAAGCTCAAGAATAGTACCCAGGCCCTGAGTTCAAGCGCCATGACTGGCAAAAAAAATCCAAACAAGCAAAAAAACAATAACTACAACCACAAAGTGTTAACTACCGTCTACTGGATGAAACCTCTGATTTTCCTCTTTGGGTAGTAAGAATTACCGAAGGCATCTGTGCTCTAAGGAAGATGCAGCGGACATGGTGGGTTAGTTGCTCAGCACTGATGGAGGCAGGGAATGTAGTGAAGCCTGGGGCTGGCTCATAGTTGGTGTGAACACCTTGACTATATTTGGCCTGCGCTTGCCTTCTCAGAACCTCTTTTGCAAAGGACTTGTGTGGTACCTCGCTATGAGGGTGCACGTTTGATGATGCTTACTACTATTTTCCTCACTCAGTCATAACACAAGGAAGTCTGTCAGCTAAAATGACTTCTTTAAATTGCCTCGTGACAAATTTTTTATAGTACTTATGTGTCGACATCTGGCAATAAGTTGGTTACCTCTCGGAAGTCTGTTCTAACAGTCCTGACAAAGAGATACCTTTTAGTAAATTAACAATTGCAATCTCTGACATGTCTTTAATAATATTCACTACATAGAATGTATTCACTACATAGAACTGTCCATGTGTATGCAGCCCTACTGCATGTGGCTCTTAATTTAAATTTTTTTTTAACAAATCATTGTCTATGTCAGGCATAGGCTTAAGAAGCTGATCAGGAGTTTAAAGCCAGCCCAGACTACATAGCAAGAACTTGTCTCAAACATATGCAAATAGGAGGATACTCTTAGGAGAGGAACAGAAAGGCATAATGTCTATGTGCATCTGCTCATATGAAATAATATTTATCAAAATGAGTTCCAGGAAATGGAAACAAATGTATATACACACATATATATGTATGTATGTCTCTGTTTCTGTCTCTCTCTGTCTCTCTCTACATATATGTATGTACATTAAAGTATTGTCTTGGATGTTGGTGATTCATTTGTCCATTGGTTTCATGGTATATTGTGTGTTACACTTATAACCTAGGCCCAGATTCATAAGCCTATGTGATTTCCAAGTTTCAGCATTGTAGAAGATAATTGTCTGATTTGAGATACCTCTGAAGACCTCCACAGTGAAATTCGTCCACAACAAAATAAAAAGTTTAAGCCAGATGTGCACTTCCACATCTGCCATTTTCTTACCACCAAGTAGCAAGCCAACAACCACAGAGAAGCTTACTTTTGTGTCTAGAGCTAATTCTGTTGTGCTTTGTTATTTCAAGGGACTAATCTCTCCCATGCTGGATTAATAAACAGGTGTAAAGGTATAATCAAACATCACTTTTAATATTAACGTCATGGATTTCCCAAAATACTGACATACTGACTTTTCCCCATTTTCAGGTGATAGAGAATCTCAGACGAACAGTCATGGTGAGTCATAGCCTTGCATTGATGAGAGTTAACTGTCAGCAGTACATGATTTTGTTCAGGAATTGTTTTATTCTTAGATGTCTGAGTTCACTCCTTGTCCAAAGCACAGAATTTTTCACACTGTTGAGATGCTGTTAGAAAGCCTTATTAGACTGACTTTTGATTTTTCATATGTAATCATGGCATTGTGTGCATGGGATAATGCATCCCACCAATGTGTATATTTTACTAGAAAAGATGGACTCCTTGGTTTTTAGCTGTTTCCTAACATAGGAAATAATAGATAGATACTTTTGAAATGAATGAATCTATGAGGAAAGCGAGAAACAAGCTAGTCCCAAGACTTACAACTTAGAGGGGAGGCAACCTCCCAGTCTGGGCCTGCTGGACCCCAGACTGGCCTCTGTGGCTGCTCACGTGCCACATCTCTTTCTGCAGGTGACTGGCCAGAGCTCCGGCTGGTGGATGGCCCTGGCCGGTGCTCGGGTCGCGTTGAGGTCCTTCATCAGGGGGCCTGGGGCACCGTGTGTGACGATCTCTGGGACCTGAAAGAAGCTGAGGTTGTGTGCCGCCAGCTGGGGTGTGGTACGGCTATTTCTGGCCCTGGTGAGGCCTACTTTGGCCCAGGTTCCGGAGACATCTTCCTGGACAACTTCCAGTGCTTTGGGATAGAGCAGTACCTGGGCCAGTGTGCCCACTCAGACTGGTTGGAGCACAACTGCGGCCACCACGAGGATGCCAGTGTCATCTGCTCAGGTAGACAAAAGCCCCGGGGAAGCCCTGAGTTTGCACCCCAAGGCCATAAAATAAAAGAAAGACTAGGATAGGATAATACAAGAAGAACAGAATGAACGGAATGAATGGATATTATCATTGAAGATATTTTGAAACCATTTTTCATGGGTAGAATTCTCCTCCCTTCCCTCTTTCCTTCCCTCTTTCCATCCTTCTATCCTTCCATTCATCCACTCATCATCCTTTGGTCATTCATCAAGCACCCTCTTGGGACCAGGCCCTGGAAGCAGACATATGCCCTGTCATGGGCAGCTCCGAGATTTGTAGTAGAGGTGTTGGAACCAGTACCACCTGGGGCATTACAATTGAGATTTCTGGGCTCTGCTTAGACACTAGGATTAAGTAGGTTTGGAAAGGGGCTCAAGAGAACTCACTTTAACAGATCCTTCAGGGATTATGCATAGGAGTAGCCAAGAGCGCTGTCATGCCCTGGCTCCCTAAGTCATCCTGCTGGAGAAGGGCTGCAGGTGCCCAGTGGGAAGTTCTAGTAGTCTAACTCCTATACTCAGAAAGGCAGCACCCTGTCTCTTCTATACTTCTCCACACAGCCCTTGTCATATCATCTTTCTACCCTTTGGGCTTATTAAGGACAGTGACCTGGGGTCTTTCTTTGTGTTTGCAGATGCAGAAGATGCCCTGCCACCCACACCTCCAGGTATGTCCCTGTTTTTTCCTAGGGAGCTTTTCAATAATCATAACAACAAGAATAATAATAACAGCAACTGCTTATAAATATTAAGAGCTAGGCACTGTTAATGAGCACTGTTCATGAATATACAACTGTCCTTCAATTTATAATTTAGTCATATTATAGGTCAAAATGAATTTCCTATACCTACTATCCTACTGAAATTCATAGTTTGTCAATACAGCCCACTGATAAGTCTTTGCTGTTTTACATAATCTTATGGGTGAATGGGAGCTGTGTCTCACGGCCAGACAGTCAAAGGAAGACTCATCTCCAGCTTCCCTGTTGTGTGGAAATTGTGTGAATGATAGAGGAATGGGGAAGACATGTCTTGTGAAAGAAGCTATTCGGGTTATCTGTGGCTATCCCTTCGTGGTTTAGAACATCGGCCATGTAGACATATGCAGTGGTATAGTGGGTTAGGAATTTGGGCAGGGCTTGGCTGTGAGATTCTTCTGCACCCCAGAGCATCGAGCAGAACCTCTTACTTGTTGGCTTCGTGGGGACACTGAGAGGAGGGGTTCACACCAGGGCCCTCTGCTGGCCCTTTTCAGCTGGCCCTTTTACATGGTTCCTCCGACAGGATGGCAGACTTCAGTCAATGGGGTAGTATAGGACTATCCGAGTAAGCCAGCCTTGCTCAAACACAGGAAGTGGAAGCCACCGGTCCCATAAAGCACAGCACTCCTTCTGCTATGCTGTTCAAAGCAGTCACAGAGCCCAGCTATTCTTAAAGGACGAAGCCTGGTAATGGGCAAGTATGTCCAGGAATGTGTGGCCTGCTTTGATCTGCCAGAAAAGCATAGAGAATATTCAGCAGCAACTTCCTTCTCCATTTGCACTAAGTACGTAGATATTCCCAAGGAAACACTCACACTTTGCTAACTTCCAAAGGTATTTTCCCCCAGATATCAATAGTATCTCCATTTTAATCTTTGTTTTTCTCTCCCAGGTCCTTTAGTGAGTTCTTGGGATCCAGTAGCAGGTAAGTTGAGACTTATTTTTAAGTTGAAATGGTTATTCCCTGTCAGGAGAATTTCACAGCCAGTGGCAGGTGCTATGCTGAAGTACAGCATAAAGGAGCCCTCAGAGCATCGGGCTTCTGTGCTGACACTCTGTAAATGATGGCTTTTTAGCAGGATAGGAAGCTGCCCAGGGTGACAAGAGAGACTAGAACATGGTTCCCAGTCCACTTGGCCCACATTCACCCAATGTTCTGGTGAGCACTAGCCGCCCTGAGTCAACCGGTCAGCCATCAACCCCCTGCCTCACATGTACAGACTCTGGAGAGTGCGACTCTCACTGTCAGTCTGACAGGCTCTGCTGTTGTAACCTATTAGTGTGATCAATAATCAGTCATGGAAGATAGGATGCCAGGTGCCCACTACTTCCCACCATTCAGCCCAGGAAAGACTAGGGACCTGCAGAGCTTTGGGAGAAGTATAAGTTGACCAGAGGGACAGAAGGAAGAAAAAATTAAGGAATTTTGTGATTCAGGGACAAGGTCAATGAAATCTCTTGGGTGTTTTCAAATTTCCTCCAGAATAATTTGATGATGCCACATTTTCTGTTTCCTTATGTGCATGCTATCTTAAATATATACATGTGCTGCACATGTGTAAATTTATTTATGTTAATGTGACCACTAATATGAAAGGATTTCATTTTGCTGTTACTTTATTTTAACCCTTACAAATCCCCAAACCTGCAAGTTTCAGTCTGAGCAGAATGAGTTAAAGGGAACATAACCTATACAGGGGGAAAAAAGATAGACAAGCTCCTACAGAAGATCCCAGTTATAACTTCCCACAACAGAGCACTATGTCCCTTGCTCTTTGTCTCTGACTCGTCAAACTGTAGGGTTGTTCTAGAGCTCCTTGCTTCTCACACCTCCTTCACTCTGCATGTATACCCTGTCTCCTTGTCCCTCCTTCCCAATCTTTAAGAAGACCTACTCTTTGTCTCTCGCAGCAAGCTTTAAGCCATGAGCCATCATTCCTATGGCTATACAAATGACCTCCTGACATTCTTTTTTCCCTATTGTTCCAGGACAAAACAATTCTTGTGGAGGAGTCATTTCTAGTCTTTCCGGCTTATTTTCTAGTCCACAGTATCCAGAAAACTACCCAACAGACATCCAGTGTGTTTGGGAGATCCACGTGGACAAAAAGTTTCATATAGAACTCATGATTCCAAGTTTGAAGTAAGGAAACAGTCATTAGAGAGATTTTTATCTAAATAAGTATACTCATTTTCAAAATATAATAAAGGTTCGTTTTCTATTGGGAAACATTTAAAGGTCAAAATAGAAGAATATAAAACTCCATAGTCTGTCCAAGTCCAAATTTGGGTTATTTGACACACAATAAATCATCAGCCTATTTGATAGCTTTTCTTTTGACCATTTCCCCTAAAACATCACAGAAATTCTCAATACATACCCGTGGTACACTGAGTCTTAATATCTGTCCTCTTACACTTTGGTTTTTTTTTCTAATCTAAGTTTTAAATGAGCACTAAGAGACTTTCTTATATACACATTAGACAAATATTCCAGCCGTGGGTTGTGCATTTTCTAAATATTCCACTAAGTGAAAAGAGGCAGAAGAGTCATAGCTTCATCTCTGAAAAGAAGAAAATAGTGATTCCAAAGACACTGTCATGTTTTTATTTTTACGTTTTTTGCATTCTTTATGTCCAGACTCCATAGTACATGCTTTTATGCTTTGTCTTATTCCACTGTCATGATAGCCCAAAGATAGATGTGTTTGTCATCCCCTTAGGGGTGAGGAAAAGAGACTGAGAAGGAAACTTAGATGCTCAAGGAAATCCACACGGGTCAATCCAAATCGGTTCTATACCAATATGAGAATGTTTGTCTTTAATAGTGAAGTTGATCATCTCTTCTTATCTATGACTTGTTTAAGAATGGACTTCATTATGATATTTTTCACACATACAAATATGATTCTATGAGTAAATTTACAAAAAAATCCCTTTTTGTTGTACATGACACACATCATGTTACAGCAGTCCAAGACCATGGAATTCCACAGTAAACTAGCCTTAGCCAACCCAGCAAATTATTTTTTTTTATTATGACTAACCCCATGACCATAGGGTTAACCCTAGGCAAGCAAGCAAGCAAACAGAGGTCCTAAACCATACTATCTTTGTTAACTAAAACCTGGATTCATTGTGATTGGCTAAAAAACATTAATGATTTTAAAGCTTCTGGCTTAAAGTTGTTACCACCATCTTCACACATTTTTCTCAAGCAAAGACAAAGTACCTGAAAAGGTTAATTAATATTTGTGTATTCATGTGCAATTTAAACTGTACTCCAGATATTCAATGATCAGTTCAGTGATCACCACGCTTTTGGGGGGCATTGATAACGAGGACATTTGTAATCTGCCACTGACCTCCCCCCCCCTTACCCCGCTTTCTTTCCTCCCAGTCTGGAAGACATTCTTGGATGTCCCTATGACTCGGTTGAGATCTTTGATGGCCCCAGGATCGCCTCCCTCTCCATGGGGAAATTCTGTACCCCAGCAGCTGTTATGTTTTTCTCCTCCTCAAATATCATGACAGTGGTATTCCGAAGTGATTACATGATAACCAACACTGGCTTTTATGCTCTGTTTCATGCGATTCCACTGGGAGAAGGGGAGCCAGGTAGGAAGCTTCAAATAAAGCTTTGGGTAAATAAAAGAAGGCAGTTGTTAAGTTGAGAGGGCATCCCCCATGGGCAGAGGCCTGAGATTCAGTTTTAAAAGATCCCCACACATAACTCTATCAGCTGAGCTTCAAAGGTGCTAGGGTTTCTCACCAGGAGAGCCATGTGGCAAGTTACAGTAAGGTGGTGATAGGCAGCTACTGTCCGCAGGGTCTGGAGGGTTGTCTGCTATAGCTAGCATCGTGGGAGCTGTCCAGAGTGCTGAAATGTGGAGGCCCCATATTCAGGAGACTACTGCCCTCCTCCAGCTGACCCATTTCACACTTTTAATGCACTGGCTTTTAGACCCATCCAAGACCCATCCAAATGAGAGGATTGTTGTTGCCTATTATCTGGGGTGCTATAGCCAGTCATTGCAAACCCAGGTTCAATTTTCACCTGGTAAGCACACTACTGGCCAGGTATGGGACTTCTGGTCTTCAGGGGTCCCTAAGATCTTGGATGAAGTTTCAGTTCATTTGTTTCTGTGTAAGGGATTTCCCTTTATGTGACATTCAGTGGTGTGTCTGAGATCCTACCTTGGGTAAGCTATACAAACTCCAAATTTAAACATCCAGACACTCAAGCCAGGCTCCATTGAGTATAGGAACACAGAGCAAGCAATACAATCCCCTGCCTTGTACTGTCATGTGGATGTGGATATGAGGGGAAAGATCAAGGCATGAGAAACAAGAAATGAGGTTATTTAGGATGAAGGATAAAAACAATAGTAAATATAAAGGCTGAGGATAAAAGGTGACATGTGGGGGCTGGGAAGGTGGCTCAGTGGTAGAGCGCTTGTCTTGCATGCATGAGGCCCTGGGTTCGATTCCTCAGCACCACATAAACAGAAAAAGCCAGAGTGGCGCTGTAGCTCAAGTGGTAGGTGCTAGCCTTGAGCTGAAGAGCTGAGGGACAGCGCCCAGGCCCAGAGTTCAAGCCCCATGACCGACCAAAAAAAAAGTGACATGTGGAGCTTCCTGGGGAAGGGGCTACAGTAGACCCGGTGGGAAAGGAGGGGCTTTCTGGGGAAGAGACATGTGAGGAAGTCTAGAGACATTTCAGGCAGAAAGAAAATGTAAAGGTCTTCGAGAGGAAAGAGCTGGACACATTGGAGCCGCAGAAAGACGGCTGCAGTAGCAGAGCCTGGAAGCCTAGAAAGGGGGTCCTGTCCCTGAGCTATCTCCAGAAGACTGGAGGTAATTCTAACTGACCACAGCCCTTTCACTCAGACACAGCTATTTTCATTGGGCTCTATGAAATCATAGTCACGTCCTTGGCTGAGGCCCTGCAGGGCTTAAATCTACACATATTTAAGGCTCATCCAAAAGAAGTGGGGGATTCTAGTTCCCTAATAACCAGCATTTTGGCATGGAGAAGCTCATCACAAGATTGGCAGTAACCATGACATGCGGATGCTGAGCTGAGTTTATTCTCATGATCACTGACAGATGCTGGAGTCCCCGTCTTATAGATGAAGGAAACTGAGGCTCGGGGGACAAAAGAACTGATCATATATTACACAACTAGGGAGCAATAATACTGGGATTCAAACCCACTCTATCTCCCCTCCAGCATCCTTGAGCCTACAATGGAATCAAGATGTTTTTAAAAGTTTTGCCCTTGTGTTTGTCTTAGGCCCAGCACAGGAGATGTTACTCCTTACATAAATCCCTTCTCTGTTTAGAAAATGAGCCAGCACTGCGCCTGGTGGGGGGCTCCAGTCGGTGCTCAGGCCGTGTGGAGGTCCTCCATCAGGGGGCCTGGGGCACCGTGTGTGATGACCTGTGGGACATGAATGAAGCCGCAGTTGTGTGCAGACAGCTGGGCTGTGGACCCGCCATTGCTGCTCTGGGAAAGGCCTCCTTTGGCCCAGGCTCTGGAGACATCCTCCTAGACAACATCCAGTGTTCCGGAAGTGAGAACCACCTCGGTCAGTGCCCCAGCGCTAGCTGGTCAGACCATAACTGTGACCACCATGAGGATGCTGGCGTTGTCTGCTCAGGTATCCCCTCCTCTCCTCTCCTCCTTCTGTGAAGCATCTTACTGATGGGTGGAGGTCATCCACACAGCAGGGCCAGGGAACCAGGGCCAGTCGCTAACAGACGAATGCCCATTGAACCAAGTAGCCACAGGACACTGAAAACCTGACTGATCCACACACAAACACACCAGAGCCACTCAAATGGCTGATGCCTTCTCCGGAGAAAGCTATGTCAATTGTGCTTACTTGTAAACTACAAAGTCTGATTGCTTAAGAGCTTCTCATGCTAGTAATTCGTCATTTTTTGTCTTCAGTGAAGTTGTTAGGACGTACGTCTTTTACATTCTGAATGCACTTCTTTTCCATGCCTGTAGATGCTGGGGACTGGGCGGCAGCGGTGACTCCGAAACCCCCAGGTAGGTATAACACTGAATTTCCATTTCTGCCACGTTAAAGAGAAATATGATCTGTGCTCACAAGTACAGTCACTAAGGCACAGCGAGATCCAGGGTAGCAGTCTCTGTTTGTTTTGTAAGTCCACTATGGCATTTAAAATTCTGGGTTCTGCAACTGAGAAAATGCACGGCACATTGAAGCCAACCACGGGTGTCTCATCTGCTCCCACAGAAGGAAGCAACGTGTGTGGCGGAGTCATTTCCAGTCTCTCGGGTTCCTTCTCCAGTCCCTGGTACCCTACCAACTACCCCACGGACGTGGAGTGTGTCTGGGTGATACACGTGGCCGAGGCGTTCCACATAGAGCTGGTGATCCCCACTGTGCAGTAAGCAGCTTTGACTTTCTCGAGTCTAAAAGCCAGGCTGGATCTGAACCTCCCAAACACATGCCCTTTCCAATGGACAAATCCTTACCCGTTTTCAATGAGAATTGGTCTGGTCATGGGAGCTATAATAATATTCCAGGCATAGCTCAGCCTCCTATTCAATGAGAGAATAGTCCACAAACATCCAGATGCCAGAGGCGGCCATGGAGCCGTAGCTGGAGTGAACGCTGCCCACAGACACCGCCCTCGTCCCTGCACCCTCAGAGACATAAGCTGCTTCCAATTCAGTGCACATCTGCCCTTCCTCTTACCTACTTGAGTGCTACACAATCAAAATCTTGCTCCTCTTCCCTTCAAGAAGTTCTAGCATATTCCTACCTGGAATTTTCTTCTACAAATTACAGGGTTTCTTTCATTCCTCCCATTGTGTAGCTTATACTTCCTACACCTTTCTCTAATCAAAGGTGTTCTCCTATTTAAGTGTGTCTATAAGCATGTATACACTCCGGCCCTTCGTATGCACCACAGCTTGGTGTGAGGTCCCCTCCCAGTGCCAAGCCCACAGATATGTGAGTCTCCTATAGAAAGCATCACAGCATGTCTCTTTGTATATTTTCAGTCATCTCAGATTACTTATAATTCCTAATACACAGTAAATGCTTTATAAATAGTTTATATATTATTTAGGAGTAATGGCAAGGAAAAAGTCTGCTTATATTCTATACAGATACTAATTTTTCAAATATTATGAATCCACGGTTGGTTGAATCCTCAGATTTAAAACCCGCAGATAGAGAACCAACTGTATACACATGCATACATTCATATACAAGACATGCACATGAGTGACCTTCTATGGGGAAGAATACTTTGCCTGGTAATGTTTAACCATATATTCATATACACGTATATATTCATACATATATTCATCTATTCATATGCATATATTCATATACATGCATATATTCATACACAAGGGCATGCACATGAGTGACCTTCTATGGGGGAAGAATACTTTGCCTGGTAATGTTTAACCCTGATTTCATCTGTCTCTGCTGGGCCACATCTGGGTCATTCACTCTTCCTGGATTTGCCTTACCATGTGTCCCAGACCTCATCCGTGTTTTCTATCTGTGTGCATTGGCCACAGCGTGGTCAAGGGTCTGAAGGGCTCTGAATACAAAGGGTACATAGGGGAGTGAGGGGTAAATTCAGCTGGTTTTATATGGTGACTAAATTCTTTTTGGATAAAGAGGACATAACCTAGTGTCAGGGGGAACTGTTTTTTCTGAGCAAACTATACTTACAAATTCATTCATTCAAAGCATATATGTTCGTGAGAATACATGAGAATTTTAGTACCATATCCTTCAAATCTGTGAAATTCACAGTTCTAATGTTTTAGGGAACAGGATAGTATTCTATCAGTTCTGGAAAATAGCTATTCCAAAACTGTTTGACCCACGTCTGTAATGTAATGGTTGATATTCCAGCTTAAATTCCTATGATAGTTTGGAAGCATACAAGTCCAGGAGGGGCCTGGGCAGAGGACAGTTGCTGAATGGAATGGATGTGATGGGTTGAAGTCCAAATTCGCTACTTTGCAAATTTGTTATTTGCTTTTTTTCCCAGAACATAACATTCATTTGATTTATAGAGTGGTCTCAAGTAGGAATAAGTGATTCTGCGCTCTCTCAGGACTTTGGCTAGGTCTGGAGGCCTTGTTGATTGTCACAATTGGAGCGTGTTGCTGCCATCTAGTGGATAGTGTTCAGGGCTGCTGCTGAATGTTCTCTAAAGCACAAGGCAGTTTCCCAGCCCTTCCCTTCCCTTCCGCTCCCCTTCCCTAGCCTCCCCTCTCTTCTCCTCCCCTCCCTTCTCCTTCCCTCTGGAGGAGGTGCTGGGATGGTGGAATTCTGACTGACACTTGAGATGATTTTTGTTTTCCCATTTCAACAACCACAAAACTCCCATACTGGATTTGTTGAAAAAAGGATACATATTTCAATTATGTCATCTCATTCCCACCGTTTCTTTCCTTCTGAGGAAATAATTTCTCAGATTCAAAGGTCACCTTTGTTAAACTAGATAAAATAAGGCACAGTAAAAATTTTTTTAATTTTTTGGCAAACAAGGATTCATGTCACCCCACCAGAGACGGTTCGAGAGCACCCCTAAGAGCCGGCCAGGGAAAGCCCGTGACGGTGCACACGGCGAAGAAATGCCTGCATGGCTGCCTTTCCTATTAGAAAGCCCTGGTGTTGACTGCTTCTGGTGCAGCCTAATTTCTGTTTCCTTTACCACTGACAATTTTTTTTTTTTGGTCCAGTCGTGGGGCCTGAACTCTGGGCTTGGACGCTGTCCCTCAGCTCTTCAGCTCAAGGCTAGCGCTCTACCACTTGAGCCACAGCGCCACTTCTGGCTTTTTTCTTTTTGCTTATGTGGTTCTGAGGAATTGAACCCAGGGCCTCAAGCATGCAAGGCAAGCGCTCTACCACTGAGCCACCTTCCCAGCCCCACCACAGACAAATTTGCTTGTGTTTGCAAGCCAAGCAGGGCTAAGGTCACTTACACAACCCACTTGGCTTGTCCGCTTCAGGATTCTTTAAGGCTGGTCTCCATTTTCATTTCACTCTTACTATTCTCACTGTGTGCCTTGCATACAAATTTTATCACTCACTTTCTCCTAACAATTAAAAATGGTTTATTTTTAGGTCGGTGGCTTCTCCCCACCTCCCCACTGGAATAAATATGCTCTGCATAGTAAGCTTCCAAATCTGGTATTTAGTTTGTTTGCAAATTGTAATGGTGTCCACTGAGTGGGTATATTTTATGGAGTGAGATGCTGTCATGTGGGCATCAAAGGCGGCTTACTGTTTAGGTGCAAACGTATGTCCCTAACACTTTGTCAGGGTAGGTTTCCCACACTTATTGCTGAACCTATCCCCTACCATGAGGGTTCCAGTATGGGAATGTGCTTTGTTGTATGAGGAAACAGACAAGACCTCAGTTCTTAATCAGCTGGAAAAAAAAAACAAATAATACTTGAATAAACTATTAACTCAAGGGACAATTTTAGATAGTGTTAAGCTGCTATGAAGTTAATGCATTAGAAACTACAGTGTTTTGCTGGAGCAAAGGAGAAGCGAGTGTGGTTAGCACAGACTGATTGTCCAAGTTAGGGTCATCCACAGTAGATATAGAGTTAGACTCCAGGTAGAGCAGAAGAGGGTGGGAGAAGCTGAAAGCCAGGGTTCAAGGTGAGAAGCTGCTAAAATACACAAGGTGAGAAAGAGCCTAGCAGATGGGCAGCCCTGGGAGAAGGCACATGAGGCAGAGTCCGAGAGACTCCTAGGTCGAGCCGTGTGTGGAGATGAGGGTAGAAGGAGTTGGAAGGGGTTCCTGCGCCAAGGTCTCTGGGAAAACTGATGCTGCCATCATTTGCTCAGGCTGGAGGACATCTCGGGGTGCCCTTATGACTTTGTGGAGGTGTTCGATGGACAGCCAGCCGCCTCGCGATCCCTGGGCCGAGTATGTGCTGGCACCGGGCTCACGTTCCTCTCTTCTTCAAACGTCATGACTGCGGTGTTCAGAAGCGATGCCATGGTCACCAACACAGGGTTTTACGCTCTGTACAACACCATCCAGCAAGATGAAAGCCAGAGCGGTGGGTATTGTCACACGCTCCCTGGAAGGAAATATGTATAGCTTATTTACAAGCTTCTCTCCTTTAGTAGAGAAGATTGTAAATCCCACCTGACTTGTCCCACGCCTCTGATGACATCGTACTGACACCGAGAGTCACCAGCTCCAGTCCTCACCCTGCTCTGTCCTCTCTGAGGAAAGAGACGACTGACATTGCACCTTGCATTGTCTGTTGCATGCTGACAGAGGACCCGATTAAGGGCCTTCTTCCCCCAAAGGAAAGGAAAACCCAATAAGAAAAATCATTCAAGCTGGGTGCGGGTAGCTCATGCCTGGCATCCTAGCTACTTAGCAGACTGAGATCTGAGGATCGCGGTTCAAAGTCAGCCCAGGCAGGAAAGTCCGTGAGACTTATCTCCAAACCAGAAGTGGCACTGTGACTCAAGTGGTAGAGCACCCCCCTTGAGCTGAAGAGCTGAGGGACAGCGCCCAGGCCCAGAGCTCAAGCCCCATGACCAACAAAAAAAGAAAAAAGAAAAATCATTCAGGTGAAAAAATCATCTCCAGCTACTACTGTCAGCCCACAAGCTCCTGGCTGAACCTAGTACATACTGTCCGGAACACATACAAACCTCTTAGGTTCCGCAGCAGGTACAGGAAGTGATTCAGAGCCCTGGTTTCCTAGAGTGATACAAAGTTGTCACCAATTGAGGTACTTTTGAGAGTTGAAAGGGATTCTAAAATAAATAACAGGTATTAGTAGTCAATGGCCATAAGCCAGGGCTATCTCAGGAAATCAGGACACTGGGCTATTCTACCTAGGGGTCCCCAAGTCTAAAAAAACATTTCAACTTGGAGAAAGTTCTAGAGTTTGAAGATGGCCCTGTACTCATGGAAGTCCCCGTTTCCCCGTCCCCCAGGTCTGGCCCTGCGGCTGGCGAATGGTAGCCACAGGTGTGAGGGCCGAGTGGAAGTCTCCTACAACGGCACCTGGGGCACCGTCTGCGATGACAGCTGGGACCTGGCAGATGCCGAGGTGGTGTGTGAGCAGCTGGGCTGCGGGGAAGCCATGGCAGCCCCGACTCAGAGCTACTTTAACGGAGGAACGGGCCGCATCCTGCTGGATGATGTGCGGTGCACGGGGAAGGAAGCCAAGGTGTGGCAGTGCACGCACAACGGATGGTTCTCCCACAACTGCGGGCACCACGAGGACGCCAGCGTCATCTGCTCAGGTGAGCGCTGCGGGCACACAGCTCCCCGGGGGGAGGGCCGGCTCCCCAGCAGAGGCCTCCATGCTAGCCCACGGTCAGCAACCAGCCCTGGGCAGCAAGCAAGTTAGGTCAGTATGTTTAAGGATTCGTTTTCTTTCTCCTTAGTTGTTGTGTGTATAAAATGCTCCAGATCCCACCTGAAAAGCTTTGATGATTAACTAGAGGGTCTGAACCATCACACATTGTATTCTTTGGTTTTTATCTAGGGGGTCAGAACCATCACCCATTGTATTCTTTGGTTATTAACTAGGAGGTCAGAACCATCACCTATTGTATTCTTTTGTTATTAACTAAAGGGTTGGAACCATCACACATTGTATTCTTGTGTGGCATGCCCAGGCATTGGAGGCAGTCATTCTCCCGAGTAGAAATAGTAGCTGGTTCCTAGCCAGAGCTGCACTCAAGCCAAATTCTGTGCTACAAGCAGTGTATTTGTGTTCTCATTTAATCTTTGTAGCTTCTAACCATGTCAGCCATTAGGATATTGACTTTAAGAAAGAAAAGGAAGATCCAAGATCACATGTACTCCAAAAATACTGCCTTGCTGAGCTCAACTCTGTTAAAAAGCGCACTGATGGCTCATGCCTATAATCAGGAGACTAAGATGTAAAGATCACAGTTCAAAGCCAGCCCAGGCAGGAAAGTCCATGAAACTCTTATCCCCACTTAACCACCAGAAAACTAGAAGCAGCACTGTGGCTCACGTGGTAGAGCACTAGCCTTGTGCTGAAGAGCTCAGGGACAGCACCCAGGCCCAGAGTTCAAGCCCCACAACTGACAAAAAAGAAAAAAAGAAGGAAGAAAAAAATCTCAGTCACTGCAAATAAGTATGGGGCTGCATTTGAGCCACCAAGAATAATGTGTACGCCCTTACCCAGAAGGCACTGCTGTCCCCATGGCTCACAACAGAATATCATTGATCCAGAACAAGTACTAGATTTTTGTAATGACTGATGCAACCATCTTCCCCTATCTGTCTCTCATGGCCTCCCCTGTCTTTGATAGGTATCAATGCCAGTCCAAGCAGAGGACCAACAGGTACTGTTCAGCCTTACCGTTCATTCTGTTTGCCAGGTCTCTGATGTACAAACAGCCCACTGGGGTTGACCACACAGTGGGGCAAGGGGCTACCAAGGTGAGAGCAAGAGAGGTAGGAAGGAAGAAGGGTTCAGATAGGCCTGAGATGTGAGATGGGGTCTCCCTGAGTCATGTCTGCTGTGGAGAGAGGACTATAGGGCTGCGCTGTGGTACAACAGAAGGAGCAAACATGTAGACACCTCAGGGTCAACTTCAACAAAAGTGGTATGGTGTGGTATGGTATGGTGAGATGCAAATGTCCAAGCCCTTGAGCTATCATACAGCCTCCTGTCCATGGGCACAGCTTTTGAGGTCAATGTTCCTGAGTATTCAATTCTATTCTATTCTATTTTTCTTACTTTATTTTTGTGCTGGTACCTGGGCTTGAACTCCAGTCCTCATGCTTTTTCACTTAAAGTGGGTGCTCTACCACTTGAGTCACATCTCCACTTGCTGGTTCCTTGGAGATAAGAGTCTCACAGAATTGTCTTCCCAGGGAAGCTGACTTCAAAACACCATCCTCAGCTCTGTCTCCTGAGTAACTAGGATTATAGGCGGGAGCCACCAGAACCTGGCTCAAAGTTCCTGAGTATTTTCGATAGTGTTCTGGATAAAAGTCTTTGCTCATGGTACTTTTTTTTCCTCTGCATTTTTACAGGCATCTCAGATGACAGCACCTTTACAGGTATACTTCAGCTTTGTATGTACTGTCTTGCATGTGCTTTATTTTCCATTTAGCTATTCCTGAATCTAGAAGGATATCCTTCCATGAGTATGCATATGTATAGCCAATATTGCAGCTAAAATTGAACACTTTAGGTAATCTTGGTCTTCATTTCAGCTAAGATTTGTGTCTGATTGTTAAAAGATAAACTTTGGCATATTAAAATTTTAAAGCTGAGCACAGTGCTCATGCCTGTAATCTCAGCTACTCAGGAGGCAAAGACCTGGAGATCTTGCCATGGGGAATATAACAACATTTGCAAGATTCCCATCTCAGCCAATAAACAAGGTATGATGGTGTGAACATGTCATACCAGTATAGAGGAAGCATAAATAAGAGAGTCATGATCCAGGATAGCGTGGGCATATAGACTCTAGTCAAAAAGTCACTTGAGCAAAAAGGAATGGGTGCATGGTCCAAATCATAGAGAACCCTCCCAGCAAAAATAAGGAAGCACTTTGGAATTGAGTCACTCCAAAATGAAATAGTTTAGGACTCCACTGAATGGCCACCGAAGTCCAGGGCACCCTGCGTGGGGACTTGAGGGGGGAGGGGAGCCCCGACAGTGTAGATTTGGAGGTAATCAAAGAAAACATTTGGTGATAGTGGAGCAGTGGCCTCCTTGGCATCATTTCAGCGTGAATCCCCAGAGACAAGTTGGAAGCTTCTGATTGGCCAAAGCAGTTTACACCGCATGGAATTTTAATTTGCTAATGTAGGAACCCAGATCCCTAGATCAGTTTAAATTATTTTAATAAACTCATCTGGGGGGGGTAGTTTGCTGATCTTGGGTGGTTTATAACAAACCCACTGTGCTGAGGGAGATTACTTGGCCCTGCATTGTGTTTATTCCTTGATTTTTTTTTCCCCACTGTCGTTGCCTGTGTGTGCCTATCTGTGCTCATGGATTCATAGAACCCCTTAAACCCGTGATTCTGCTGCTTTCTCTCCACAAACGCACATGCCGTGATGGTCATCTGCAGAGGACCATGATGGGGGGTTGAAGGACCCAACCTTCAGCAGCAGCAGCTTACTTCTTTTTGTTATTCGTTTGGTTTGGTTTGGAGACAGGGTTTTACTACATAGACTAGGTCCCAGTGTTGGGATCCCAGGCCCATATCACCATGTCTGGCTTGTTTTCCTCCTGTTCTCATCGTATCCCAATTTAACAAACAAACAAACAAAAAAGAACAGAAACAGAAACCGATCAAGTCAATAACCTTTTGTGATGGAGTTTCTTCACTTTCTTACAGATGAAAATTTCCACTGTGGTGGTTTGCTCACAAATATTTCTGGCTCTTTCTCCAGCCCTTGGTATCCCAAAAAATACCCCACAAATGTGGTGTGTACCTGGGACATCCAAGTGGACAGCAGGGCTCACATCAGACTTACATTTGAAGTAATCAAGTGAGTAGTTCCTGCTGGTACTGGCACCTTCCTTCAGCCATGCATACCAGTTTTAGCTCCTTCTTTGCTCCCTCCTCTCCTTTCTCCCTCAACCCCCCCCCAAAAGCCATCCATATTTAGAGGCCCAGCATCCATTGCTCATGCCCGTAATTCTAGCTACTTAAGAGACTGAGATCTGAGGGTCACAGTTCAAAACCAGCCTGGGTAGGAAAGCCCATGAAACTCTTATCTCCAATTAACCACCAAAAAGCTAGAAGTAGAGCTATAGTTTCCCTGGTGGAGTGCAAAGTAGCTCAGGGACAGCATCCAGGCCCTGATTCCAAACCCCAGGACAGGCACACACACACACAAAAAAATAGTGAGCAAGGCCTGGAAATTCATTGCAATGTTGATGCAAACATAAGCAGATCATTTAATCCAGCATTTCCAGTCCCAAGAGTCTTGTCTACAGATACAATCTCTTGTGCATGCACTGAGGACAATCATGGCAGTATATACATGTTTTATATAGTAGGACAGACACCATCTAGCTGTCCATCTCTTGTGGATCAGTTAAATAACTGTGGGTACATTCTTACCTGTCACGTGCATTGTGGATATTGAACAATACTATAGCCCACTCCCATTTGTGCAAAGACTATCTCTGGAAGGAAATGAAAGAAACTGTTCATTGGAGCTACTTCTAGGAAGCAGCGGCTTCCTATTGTGGCAATGAAGAGAAAAAAATTAGGGACAGAAGAAAATCTTACTTTTTGCCATGAACCATTGATGCCATTAGAATTCTATTCCATGTGCTTATATACATAGTCATAAAATACCATTGGTACACAATTTTAAGAAACTTAAAAATAGAAACAGGAGAGTAGCACTTTCTCCAACCTGTGAGAAGAGAGGTCAATTTCTGGCAGCTTGTCCCCAACTTTTTTCTTGGGTTCATCTGGGCAACTGCTTCCTGGAGAAAAAAAAATTCCAATAATCTGAGCTTAAATGACACCACTTCATTTCACAGAATGGAAAATTTCTATGGCTGTCCCTATGACTTCATTGAAATCTTTGATGGCCCACAAAGTGAATCTTTTTCACTGGGACGATTCTGCTCAGAAACAACCCCGATATTTACCTCCTCATCAAACCAGATGACCGTGGTGTTCCACAGTGATGAAATCGTCACCAACATTGGCTTCTATGCATCTTATGAGGCTCTGATACAGGATGACAGTGACACAGGTAGGTCCTTCAGTCATCTCCACCCCCAGCCTGGTCACAATGATGATGAATTTGAATGACCACTTAGTTCAGTGGACACTAGGGACTGAGAGAGGTTTTCTAGGCTCCTTAGGAGTCATATCTACTAAGATGTGACTTGAAGAGCATCTTCCATTACCCTTCCCTGGCACACATACATCTGAGATTAGAGCTAAACACATGAGGCTGAGAAGGGGGACTTGGCCAGGCCTATGTTGAAGACTTTTGTTCACAATGGTGTCAAAGAACGTTCCTTGGCTGGGCACTGGTGGCTCACGCCTGTCATCCTAGCTACTCAGGAGGCTGAGATCTAAGGATCCCGGTTCAAAGCCAGCTGGGCAGGAAAGTCTTTGAGACTCTTATCTACAATTAACCACTAGAAAACCAGAAGTGGTGCTGTGGCTCAAGTCCTAGAGCACTTGCCCTGAGCTGAAGAGCTGAGGGACAGCGCCCAGGCCCAGAGTTCAAGCCCCACAACTGACGAAGAGAGAGAGAGAGAAAGAATATTGTTCCAGTCAGGAGTGGTGGCTCAGTCTTATAACCCAAGCTACTTGAGAAATAGAGATCAGGAGATCATGGTTTGAAACCAGCCTGGGCATAAAAGTATGTGAGACTCCATTTCACTCAATTGCTGGGCATGATGCTATGTGCCTACCATCCCCAGTGACATGGGGAAACACAAGCAGAAGAACTGCAGCCCAGCCGGTGCAGGCAAGACCCTACCAATAACTAATACCAAAAAGGGCTGGAGGTATGGCTTAAGTAGTAGAGCACCTGCCCAGCAAACATGAAACCCTGGGTTCAATCCCTTATGCTGCCACAGAAATAAAAAGCATTCATTCGTGGTCATTGTCAACTTACACAGGCTTTTGGAGGCGGTCTTTGAACTCTGTGAAGCACAGAGCTGGTGCATTTAAAAGCAACCTCCCCTCAGATGCAACTTGGAATGCTTCTGTAGCTAGATTTAGCCCCCAGGGCCCCCTTCGGCTGGGAGTGTGGAGGCCACAAAGCCGGGTGGGTGCCCTGTGGGCCTCACTCGGCGTCTGTCCTCCAGCTGTGGGCCTCAGGCTGGCCGACGGCAGCCATGCCTGTGAGGGCCGCGTGGAGCTGCACTACAACGGCAGCTGGGGCACCGTGTGTGACGACGCGTGGGACCTGAGGGACGCCCGGGTGGTGTGCAGGCAGCTGGGCTGTGGCGGAGCCCTGGCGGCCCTCGGGCGGGCACATTTCGAGCGAGGCGTGGGCCCCATCGCCCTGGACGACGTGGAGTGCGCGGGGACAGAAGGCCGGCTGTGGCAGTGTCTGCACGGGGGCTGGTTCTCCCACAACTGTGGCCACCACGAAGATGCGGGCGTCATCTGCACAGGTGGGCTGGGGTCTGAGCCGGGAGGGTGGGCCTGTGACTTCTTCCCACCCTGGGGAGCCCTCTGACCCAGTGCAGGGGGAGGAGATGGGGTGGGGACCTGGGACAGGCCCCAGACCGTCACCCCTCACACTTCAGCCATTCCGGTTCTCACATTCCCACCTGCCACCCACGGAGTGGCTTTCACACTTCCTTCTTCATGCTTTGCCCGTCCTAAGTACAGAGCCAGATCCACTTGCCACAGACAGTACTTGAAAACAGACAGGCTGGCCGTATAACCTGTTTAAAATGCTTTAAAAGTGACAGTGAACTCACTTCAATCAATTCATACCCATGTACATCTGAAAATATTCCTATTTAGAATGGAACTAAATGTAAATTAAAATTTTTAAGGCAATAAATATGCAAGTCTTAAGACAGATGATACACTATCGCAAATTACCCCGGTCCTCACAGTGACAACTCACTCCGCTTTACACTTCTAAGAGTGGAGGGGTGAACAGAGAACTTCCTAAAAGAAAGCCAGGAGCCCAGATCCACATCCGGGGCTCTTATTAGGCAGCCTCTCCCAGCTGAGCTTCTGCAGATAAATTCAGGCATGTAGTCACATGTCCTCCATCTATTCCTGTATCCTACTAGGCCTGGCTGGAAAGAGGTAGACGAGTGTATCAGCCAGACAGGATAGGGTGAACTGGTTCTGAGAAGAAAAGAGAAAAGTCAAAGGATGAAAGTATACTCTGAATAACACAGAAACTGAATCTATAGGCTGCAGATGACATCTGAGAATCGAGTAGAACCTTCTAGAGCCAAGACCTTTGGAACCAGGGTCCTTAGCTGTCAGAGATGGATCAGAAAAGCCTGGGCCACCAAGCGGCAGTTTTGAGTTCTCCTCCATCCCCAGCTGGAGGACCTGGCCCAACTCTGCCACCCCGCCTCCCTCCCTGAGCTGAGTTGCTTGTCCATAACCTTGAGACACATGTGGCTCTGCCCTTTACAAATCAACATTTACTGGGGGAACAAGGCCTACACACACACACACACACACACAATCACACAATCACAATCACACAATCACACACACGACAGAAAAACAGAGAAACCTATACAACCAAACCAACAGGCAAAACAAGTACTTTAAACAAAGGGACAACAATGGCTACAGTCTAGTGTCCAGTAGCAAGACAGAAATGGCCCCCAGAGAACAAAGGTGGGAGGTGGCTGTTGCCATAGTAACTGAGAGCCACTCTTAGATGCCCAGTGGGGTACAGCCGGTCTGAGATTCTCGCCCAAACAAGACAATGTGCTTTGATAAGCAAGTGTACCTCTCAGGCTTAAGAATGAAATGAGAGGGTCTGGGAAGGTGGCTCAGTGGTAGAGCGCTTGCCTTGCATGCATGAGGCCCTGGGTTCGATTCCTCAGCACCACATAAACAAAAAGAAAAAAGCCGGAAGTGGCACTATGGCTCAAGTGGTAGAGCACTAGCCTTGAGCTGAAGAGCTGAGGGACAGCGCTCAGGCCCAGAGTTCAGGCCCCATGACCGGACCCAAAAAAAAAAAAAAAAAGAATGAAACGAGATGACTTACCACACTCCTTCCGTCTTTCCTAGCCTCCTTGCCTCATTCAACACCTTCGGCTGCTGTGAATTACGCAACTTCAGGTAATTTCCTTTGCTCTTCTGAATCTGAATGGCTTGTCTGTCAGTAACTGGCCTGGGCAGAGCTATCCTGTACTGTAGTGATTTAGAAGTCAAATGTCATTTTCATCATTTCCCAGCTGTTAGGCCTCCAGCAAGTCTTCCAGTCACTGCATGGCTCAGTATCTTCCTCTGGATGAGGCTGAGTGCAGAAACATTTGCCTTGTAAGGCTGTGCTGGGTGCTGGTGTCTGCCTCTGTACAGTGTGGCTAGAGCAGTGCTAGCTGTATGGTACAGCATGCTATGTAGACATTAGCTATGGTTTTCTGAGCTGGTCCAAGGCCAGAGCACTGCATGGATCTGTCTCTGCAGGAATTCTTCTGTTTGCAGAATTAAGAAGGAAGAAGCTGAGAACATCACTTTTGAGTCTGCTCCTGGCTCTGGCCCTGAGATTGTTGCATTTCAAGTTTGATTGAAATGTTTTCCCATCACAAATCTTTAAAGAGTGAAGTCCAATATGCAGAAAAGAGTTGAGGGAGGGGGGATTTTTTAAAAAAGAAAAAGAAAACTTGATCAATCCCCAGGCTTTAGTTGTCTTGAGCTTATACAAGTTGGTCCCTATTTGCTATACACATACAAGTTGGGGGATAAAAAAGGAAAAGGACACCAGAAGAAAATCTGATTTAGAGCCAGAAAGTATCTGCAGAGCTTTTAGAAGGTGGAGATCCCACTGACAATTGACTGCAAGTTGAGTATGTCTGACACGTAACTAAGATATCCTATGAATCTTAAGATGTCTGATTTTCTTCTTTTGCCTTCTATTACCTTTAGTACCTTTCCTGAAGCCGACTGAGGCACCACTATCCACAGGTAACCTGCTGTCTCTTTGGCTGCCTTCCCCTTGTGAGATCAGAGAGACCCAGCATTTCTATGGGAGGAAGTGTGACCATGCAGCACACTGTCCACTTCCACCTTCCTCCCCGCCTCAGCCTGGCCCTGTCTGGCCCCACCCAGAAATCTGAGACTGGAAAGTGAGAGGGGGAAAAAAGGCTGTAAGATCCAAGGAGGCTGGTTGGGGAGTTGGCATCTAAGAAGACTCCTAATGACCCCCAGTCTCCATCCAGTCCCCCTTTCGAAACTCATCTTTGCTCTGCCTTGAGTACACAAGGCTTCTACTTCCTTGGGACACACAGTCCTTTGGATGTGGGTGTGAACATGCAGGGACCCACCTTAACCATTGCCGAGAATAGATTCATGCATTCATTCAGCCATACTTGATCCTGGGAACAATGTAGGCAAGAACTGCTGTTGTTACTTGATTAACATGTGTAAAGACATACACATGCACACACATGTGTGCTAGTTAGCTCATGAAAAATTGAAGAAACTCAGTGAGTGTCAGAAATGAAGACGTCACCACACACAGTAAAAGGACACCTGTGCAGTGGTACAGGTCACTAATCCACTTGATTAAGGAACAATTGTTTTTATTTTTAAACCAGTTATAACTATCTACAACATACCACGTGGTTCCCAAGACAAAAGTAAGCCATGAAAGGAACAAAGGAAATGGAGGGTTTTCTGGTGAGCTCTGGCGATGAACTCAAAGCGACTTTGCTTTGGAATGTCCACCCAAGGTCTGGGCGTGCGGCTGGTGAATGGGGCAAGCAGCTGTGAGGGCCGAGTGGAGGTCTTCCATGACGGCACTTGGGGCACCGTGTGCGATGACGGCTGGTCCATAGAGGACGCTCACGTGGTCTGCAGACAGCTGGGCTGTGGGCCAGCCTTGTCTGCCCTCCCGGGGGCCAGCTTCCGCCCGGGGTCAGGAAGAATCCTCCTCGATGACGTCAACTGCACAGGCAGTGAGCCTTCCCTGGCTCTGTGTCCTCACGGCGGCTGGCTCACCCACAACTGCGGGCACCAGGAAGACGCCGGTGTCATCTGCACAGGTGAGTGAACGTCCATCCAGGACCGGTCAGGGGGCCCCGAAGTCATTGGAAGAGTCTGGAAAGAGCTCTCTACTTGGAGCCTTTTGCTGTGGCCAGGCTAGCAGATTTCTATTCCAAGTCTGAAAAATAAATGTGTGTGTGTGTGTGTGTGTGTGTGTGTGTGTGTGTATGTGTGTGTGTGTGTGTGTTCCCATTTTGTAGTATTGGGGGTGGTCCTATTCAATGGTAGAGTCTACAGAGGATAATCACTTGTAAAAATAAAGAAAATACTGGTCCTTCCCTCCTAGAGTTGCTGGAAGGAATAAACCAGACAATCCATATTGGACATTTGGGCAAGTGTCCATCAAACACAAAACACACATAACTATTGCCATTCTGTTGTTGACATTGTTCTAGTTGCTAAGCCAAATTCTGTCAGAGTTCTTAAGCAGAGAGAACAGCCCACGCTGGAAATGTCAACCCTCAATGCTGAAGAGCAACTTTCTTTCCACCCACCTTGCTGAGTGCTATTTAACAAAATGCTCTTTCAGTCATGGCACCATCGCAGCCTCTGATGCCCCCATCCTCCTGTCTGTTTCTCCCCACAGGTTCTGAGGCTGTTGAACCTCCACGTAAGTTTGAGTTCAGATCCACCGCATTTGTTGCTGGTGACTGTCTAGGGCAGGGGTCCCACGCTGGGTCTCTCTTGCAAGTTTTAACCCTCCGTGACAATGCCTTGAAGCAGATTCTTAGAGAAGGTAAAGGCCGGGCTGTTTCCCATCCCTGCAGGGCCCCGCTGTGTACCTACATGTTCTTGTAAGGGACCCCACAAGACAGCTCCAATCTTGAGGGCTGAGCCCCTGAGGAACTTCCTCTCCTCTGGGTTCAGAGGAGGCACTTTACCTGTGCCCCATAGCTTCCTTGCAGCAGGCTTCACGCAATACTTCCTCGGTTTGATTTCTTTGAACCTCTCCCCTGCCCACCATCACTCCCAAATCAATGTTTTACAGCTTCCTAAATTTGAGTAAACCAAAATTAATTGCATTCTGAAAAACTCAACATGTTCTCTGATAGGCCTGGATTCAGAAGGCAAAGCCTGAACTCCAAGCATTCAGCTTCACTGTGTTGGATTTTTTAGGAGGAAAAAATAAGGCATGAAAAGTGACATCCCAAGCATGGTAAATGCAGAATGTTATTTTTTAAGTATCTCCCACAAAGATGACAGTGTCCTTAATTCCTTGATGGATCTGCCCTGTACAGAGACCAACACAGCATCTCACTAACTTCCAGGTACAAAAAGCAGTCGTGTGCATATGCTGCCTACAGAAGGCTCCCATGTTAGCACACTCCCACCTGGACAGGTGTTTGCTACCCCCACAGTGGTGGAAGTTCACAGCTAGCTGTGCTATCTCCCTCGAGTACTGAAGGAGCCTTCGCAAGCTGACTTAGTCCTTCACCCCTGCGGATCTGCCGGTGGTGAGGCTGGCCTATGGGAAGAGCTGGTGTGAAGGTCAGGCGGAGGGCCATCACAGAAATACCTGGAAGGTTCATGTACAATGACCTCTGGGGCCTGGTGCTGCCCAGGTGGTGTGCCAGCAGGTGGTTTAGCCCTGGCTGCCCCCTGGAGCACTCCGTTTGACAATGGTTCCAGCCCCATCTTTTTAAACAATGTTATGTATACAGAGAGAGAACCAACCTGGGCAGGGTCACCACCATGGCCTGTCTGTGCACAACTGTGGGCCAGGCCCCTGAGGACGTTCACAGACAGGAACCCCAGGGTTCCATCCAAGTAACTTGTTTCCCTTGCAAACAGCACACCTTACCTGCCAGGAAGGCCAACCCTAAACAGCAAGGGATCCCAGGAAAGAGGAACAACTTCTCCCAGAACTGTCATGGCTGTAGCCCTGAAAGCCCACACACACCCAGAAGCCCCACAAGACCCTGACAACACAGGATGTTGGCACCCTAGTGTCAATAAAGGAGGTCCCTCTGCCCAACATCACAGCCTGTTTCCCCTGGCCCACAGAAGAGAAAAGATCTGGGATCATAAATATACCCGGACCAGATTCCCGGGTCAGTTTTAAATTTCCGGAATGGTTTTCCTAAGTATGTCAAACTCATGATTTTCTCATGAATATATTTCCAAAGAGAATCATGCTACATAAATGCTGTCCTAATTGCTGATTGGCTAAATCCGATCTTTCTTGTACAATTCAGAGAGATGTGTTCATGAGTATCTTGCTAGACAGGGAGGGTGGCTCAGAGTTGCTGTCCAGCTGGCCTGGCCCCCTGAGCATGCCGGCCTGCCCAGGCGGGCACTGCCTGGGGTCACCCACCATCCTGGACCAGGGAGGGCTCACTTCCGGCTCAGCTTGTGAGGTCTTAGCAAAATTCCCCTCCACTCGCGTGAATGTCACTTGTTTTCTCTTTCAGCTCTCACAGTTGCTCCAGCCCTGGCAGAAACTACTCCCACCGCTGGTAATCCTCCCAAAGTTTCTCTTGATGCTTTCTGGTTATTGGCTGTGTCTCGGGGACTCTGTGAGGTTACGGTGATGTCTGTACCCACATAGACCCGTGTCTCCCCCAGGACTGGGAAAACACACGGGAACTTCTGACTGCTTGACCACTCCCTGGTTCTTGTGGTTGTTGTGTTGTGTTTTGTTTTTTTTCACTTTGAACCCTGGATAATGCTTGGCTTAAAGGAAATAATGAAACTTGAGTTTGCACACGTAGAGGCTATTTCCTGTGAGTTTGATGGCCTGGCTCCAAAATAGATATATATTCTCATTCTGTTAATTACAGCATAATGCTAAAACGAGAATGGTGGAACTAGTATATTCATATTTTCCAAAAAAATACTAGTATATGAGACCACAACAAAAGCATAATTGAGTGCAACTAGAAAATGGATGAAAACTTTCTGACCAGTGGACTAACATTCCTACCTGGCGTTTAACATTCAGACATGACTTCCACTTCAGAAGAAATCACACCTTCACCATAGGTATTTAACAGCAAAGTGGTCTTCATGCCACTGGGGCTGAGGTGAAGCAGGCTTGAGGGGGAGGGTAGAGTATCAGGTGGTCATTATCTTTGAACTTAGCACCAAATCCAGACCCTGTGCCAGACACAAGGGGGTGGGAGGAGCAGATGTAGACTGGAAGCGCCCTGGCCAAGGCAGACCCCCTGTCAAAGGCTCCAGACCTTGCTTTCACCACTGCAAGCTCACATTTATGTGTATGGTCACTCCTTCTTGCCTGCATTTCCTGTGTGATGGATTCTCTTTGTGAGGACAACAACCTTACGTAGTTTTATTGACCTTTTACCTCAGCATCTGCTCAGTGCCTGGAACCCAGGAATGGGTGATCAGATGTGTTAATTAAAAGGGAAGGAAGGAAGGAAGGAAAGGAAGGAAGGAAGGAAGGAAGGAAGGAAGGAAGGAAGGAAGTCTGCCATGAAACAACAAGAAAAAAGTTCATTGTAAAGCAGTGTTTGCTTACCATTTGGTAAGGTTTGACCAAATTTTTTTTCTTTTTTCTAGAAACTTTAAATGTTGCTAAAACAACTTCAACAGGTAATTTAAATTTAATTTACTCGCTACCAGTGAATCTATCAAATAATTTATATATTGGTTAAATCTTTGGTTCTTTAGTATTTTTTCATTTTGTTTTAATGTGTTTATGTTGGCCTGACTCATGAGAGCCATCTCTGGATCCCCTGAGTTCTGGGTGACCCAGCCAAATGCATGCACCAGAGAAAAAACATATTAAGCCAAGTCGATTAAAACATACACAAAACCAACCTGTGGCCAAGTACAATTTCCTATTCACTCTCCATTTCTTATAGAGACTAGCCACCAAGTAGTATTGCCAGCATAGGGAAACATCAAGACCACAGCTTTCAGTGATCCTCTAACCTTCACCTACCATTCAGCCATCTGCTAGATCTATGCCAAGACAGCCACACAGCAGAGCTACCTGGACCACAAGCCATTCTTGTGTGATAGATTTTGAGTAATACCATTTGAAATTATGCAAGGGGTTCCTAGTGTGCCATTACAATAAGCAACTTTATAAATGAGAGTATGAAGAGTTTTGTCAAGTTAGCTTTACCTTAATTTTTACCAATGTTATCAGGACATATAGAATGCGTGTATGAGTTTGCTAGAGCTCATATAAGAAGGTCATTCAAACTCAATGTCTTAGAAAATAGAAGTTTGGTACATCATAATGTAAAAGCTGGAGATTGGAAACAAAAATGTCAAAGGGCATGCTTCTCAAAAAGCACAAGGGAAGGCATTTTTCCAAATCTCTTCTCTATTGGTAAAATCAAGGCAAAATTAATTAGGTGGAACAAGAAATAGTACAAACCTACCCTCGTTCAATTTTATATGCAAGAATATCTACAGAAATAATATTAGATTATGGAAATATTTCTCAGTATTTTGAAATATGAATATATTTCTGTATTCATATAATTTTTTTAATTTTCCATCTGAAAAGTATTTAAGTTTATGTTTTGGCTATTAAATAATTTTGTTGCATAACTGTCATCTCGTTTAGATTGTGAAGTGAAAACTGTCAAAATTTTGATTCTTGACTTTTACTGAAATTTTATGTTATCTTTTTGTAATGAGCTTATTATAGTTCCCCAAAAAGGTGTACTTTCAGTAAAGATATACTTAGCACATTAAACAAGCAACAATATTTTATGCTTCATCTATAAACTACTTCAAAATAAAAAACAAGAAATGTAAAGAGGGATTGTATGGGGGGGGGCAATAAAAAGGTTGTGTTTCCTCAGTCTGGTGCTAAAGCAATTAGGAAATAAATCATCGCTGTAAGCACAAAAATATGGCCACTATTGCCGGTAAAGCTGGTTCAGACGGCTATACTTAATTCAAAGCCATCCCTCCTAGTCTCAAGCTGTCCAGAGAAAGTTCCCAGCTTAGAAATGCCACTTCTCCAACTCACTGGGTCCCACCCATCTGAAAAGAGGAGGAAGGCTGGGAAAGCCAGTCTCCATTCAGAATCATTGGTAGACCAGCCCTGTATGATTGAGAATCTCAGCCAATGGCTACTGCCCTCCAGACAAGTCATCTCCATCTCTAGTGAAGAAGGAAAGGGTGAGGGCACAAAGGGAGATTCAAGAAGTAGGAGCATGTCCCGGAGCCGTAGAGGATCTGAACGTGGCCTGACACACACGTGTCTGGAGAGCAAGAAGGCATGCTGACTGATCTATGCCCCACCCTAAAACCCCTTGTATGTGTGGAGGGATGTGAGCCTGACATGACTAACTGTTGCCTTGTCATTTCTGTCATCCACAGCTTCAGTCTCAACCGCTGTGACCTCCACATCAGGTAGAGCTCTGTCTGCCATCCCCTTACATATCTCTTCCTGGGGTATCATTTATAAAGCTAGGCTGTTGCATAAACTTTGCCCCCAAAAGTCTTGGTAAAAATAAAAATAGAGACCTTGGAGTCCCTCCTGGTATTTAAGTCACTTTTTCTCTTGTGCATAGATCAACATCATAGATCAACATCAGCAGAGGCAACCTCTCCAACAGGTAAAGTCTCTCTTTGTACTGTTCAATGAGATGATCTCTTTGTCATCTTCTCTTTAGAAAATAAGCCTTATTAATAATCATGTGGACCATAAAGTAGAAACCAATGAAAAGACATGACCGGTGCCACTCAGCTTATGTCTTTCCATGGTGCTGGGCATTGGACCCAGAGCCTCACACACACTGACCAAGAAATCTATCTCTAAGCTACACTGCTAACCCTGCTATTTAAAGTATCCTCAGTCTCTTGATTTATACCTAGATGAACCTTCATCCTTAACAGAAGAAGGAACTACCTCAGCAAGAGAGAAAAATACTTCCTTAGAAGAGGATGAGGACAATACCTCAGCAGAAGAGAAAAACAGCTCAGCAGAAAGGGAAAATACTTCAGCAAAAGAGAAAAATACCTCAGCAGGAAAGCAAAATTCATCAGCAGAAAAGGATAATACTTCAGCAGCAGAAGGAAATACTTCAGCAGAAGAGGTCAAGAACATTACCTCAGTAGAAGAGGAAAATATCTCAGCAGGAAAAGAAAACACTTCAGGAGAAGAGGAAAATACTTCCCCAGAAGAAGAAAATACTTCAGCAGAAGAGGAAGAGGACAATACCTCAGCAGAAGGGGAAAATACCTCAGCGGGAAAGAAAAGTACTTCAGCAGAAAGGGAAAATACTTCAGCAGAAGAGGAAAATACTTCCGCAAAAGAGGAAAATACCTCAGTGGGAGAGAAAAATACTTCAGCAGATGAGGAAAGTACTTCAGTAGAAGAGGATAAGGACAATACCTCAGCAGACGAGGAAAATACTTCCACAGAAGAAGAAAATACCTCAGCAGAAGAGGAAAATACTTCCACAGAAGAGGGAAATACCTCAGTAGGAGAGAAAGGTACTTCTGCAGAAGAGGAAAATACTTCCACAGAAGAAGAAAATACCTCAGCAGAAGAGGAAAATACTTCCACAGAAGAAGAAAATACCTCAGCAGAAGAGGAAAATACTTCCACAGAAGAAGAAAATACCTCAGCAGAAGAGAAAATACTTCCACAGAAGAGGGAAATATCTCAGCAGGAGAGAAAGGTACTTCTGCAGAAGAGGAAAATACTTCCACAGAAGAAGAAAATACCTCAGCAGAAGAGGAAAATACTTCCACAGAAGAGGACAAGGAGAATACCTCAGCAGAAGAGGAAAATACTTCAGCAGAAAAGGAAAATACTTCAGCAGAAGAGGACGAGAACATTACCTCAGCAGAAGAGGAAAATACCTCAGCAGGAAAGAAAAATACTTCAGCAGAAAAGGAAAATACTTCCACAAAAGAGGAAAATACTTCTGCAGAAGAGGACAAAGATAATACTTCAGCCAAGGAGGAAAATACCTCATCAGGAAAGAAAAATACTTCAGCAGAAGAGGAAAATACTTCATCCGAAGAGGACAATACCTCAGCAGAAGAGAAAAATACCTCAGCAGAAGAGGATGAGGACAATACCTCAGCTGAAGAGGAAAATACTTCAGCAAAAGAGGAAAATACCTCAACAGAAGAGAAAAATACTTCAGCAGACAAGGAAAATACTTCAGCAGGACGGAAAAATACTTCAACAAAAGAGGATGAGAACAATACCTCAGCAGAAGAGGACAATACCTCAGCAGAAGAGGGCAGTCCCCCTGGTAATGTTTTCTGCTGACATCTTTCTTAAGTGAAACACAACGTTTCGTCTTTCTATTTGGCAAATAAACCTGGACTCAGAATACCTTGCCTATGATACAAATCCCAAGTACTAAGAAAGTCCAGCATCCTTTCACAGGGATGGAACTCAACCATAGACATAGGCACAGACATAGACATAGATGTCAGCATAGACGTAGGTATAGGTGTAGACATAGGCTTCTTTCAGGAGGACAGATGTGGTGGCCATAAACCCTTACCTTTCTCCTCATTTCTGTTCTTCACCACTCTGATTCCAGGACCAAAGCAACCCCCACCTCCTATGCCCCTGAAAACAGAGTAGGTAGAACGATTATGTGATTTGGGGCCTTACAGGCTTACAGGTTTCAATTGCATGAGATCTGGTCACGTTATCCAATCCTGAGTCTCCATTTCCCCATCACCAAAATAGTGATAATCCTGACCTGGCTCAGGGATGTAAGTTTTGCTGTCATATTACAATGATCTTTTTCAGAGGAGAAGCATGCTTCACACCATCTTCTCAGGCACAATTTCACACCTACATCTGCACATCCACAAAATAAATGCAGAGCTCTGAGGAAACTGACTTGTGAATGGAGCCAAATTGTAATCTTTTTTTTTTTTTACTTATTTTTTCTGGCAGCCCCAGATCTAACTTGGACAACAATGACGCCATTGCCTGGTAATGATCATATACCTGTTCCTCAAATTAAAATAGTTTTGTAGTTTACAATAGCTATATTTTTATCATAAAGTTCATTAGTAGTTTTCCTAGCCCCATTTCTTTACCTGCTTAGAGGCTGAACTGCACCTCTCAGCTATGAGCTTCCTGTTATCCCAAGGATGTCTGACTGTGACTCTTCTCATTTCATTTTCCACCCTTGTAGGAAAATCTAATATTTCTATCTTCCTCCCCCCAAAATCAGTATATTTGCATAGGTTCCTTTGTGATTGTTTCATATGTTATTTTAAGTTAATTCTAAAGGATTAACAGGATATAACATCACTTGTTACATTCTGATACCAAGAAAATGAAATTAAATGGCCACTATTTCTATACTCAAACCAGAGTAACAACTTAAAAAGTATTAATGTCTGAATATACTTTTATTCTTCTGCTTTAAATAGAAATATGTGATTTTGTGGGACTACATTTTAAACCTTTTATTATTTCTTTTACAGTTACAATTTCAGTTGATAAAGAAATGGCACCATTACCTGGTAATTTTCATTTATTTCTAATCTCTAAAATGATAATATACCTATATTATTTATATCTAGTTTGGTATTACTGTTAGAATAAGATTTCTTTTTCATTTAAATTCCATCCTCCTAACCAAAAAAATTTATGAGCTTGTAGATGTATACATGCAAACACACACAGATACCATCCCCACACACACACACATTGTGGGACAGAAATCCACCCAAAGTTTATCCTCCAAGGCCTCACACAGAAGATATTTAACTGTGCTCGAAGTTCATCTTTATTCTTCTCTTACTTCCCTTCCTCCTTTTCTTTCTCCTCATCCTTCCCCTTTTTTCTCCTCTGCCTCTTTCTCCTCCTCCTTTTCCTTCTTTTCATTCTCTTCTTCACCTTCTTTCTCCTTTTTCTTCTTATTTTTCCTTTTTCTTCTTCTGATGGTGCTCCATCATCAAACCCAGGGCCTCATATACATTAGCAAATGTGCTACCACTCAAGAGATACACCCTCAGCTCTTGTGTTCATAGTTCACACAAATATGATTATCTTGCTTCCAATATTATAGCTTCAATTAGGCCAATCCTAAATCAGCAGATTGTAGTCAGAGAATCTAACACCAGTGAGTCCACATTCAGTGAGGCTCTTCATATGCCTAAAAGTGTGCAGAAAATTGCAAGGTAGACACTATTAAGCAATTAATATGAAGAGAACTCATTTTACACACTTGTGTATGAGGTTCTGCCAACATAATGTCATGCACCCCATAAAACCATGCTGCCAAGTGACACTGAAATAGTTTTCCATTCCATAAGTCCACTCTACAGTGTTGTACAACGAACAATGCATTTCTCAGAACAGGTCCTGAGCAATGCATGACACATGAATGTAGAGGTCTTTTTGTTGTCTTTTAAAATCAATTTTTGAAGTGTCATATATATATATATATATATGTCACACATGTATGAATTCTGTCTAATGCATGCAGTTATATAACCAGCACAATTAAAATACACCACATATCCATCACCCAGGAAATTTCCCACACCCCAGAAATTTCCTCTTGCCTCTTTCTCGTTATTTCTCCTACCTTCTCTAGGCATCTGCTGTCTGTTGAGTTCAGATGCGCCCTTGCCAGAATCTCATAGAAATGGAATCAGATAAAACATGAGCTTTTGTATCTGATTTTTTTTAACCTAAGTAAAATTAAATTTACAGTTCGCTTTGAAGTGCATACATGTGGTTCCATGAGTTGGTAATACATTCCTTTTCTTTGCTTAGTAATATTCCATTGTGTTCATATACTATAGTCTGTGCATCCTGGTATGTTGTTTCCAGTTTGGGGCTAGTATGGAGAATGGTGCCGTGTGCAAATCTTTCTGTGGACGTATGTTTTCTTGTATTGTGTAGAAGTGGAATAGACAGGTTATGTAATACCGTTTTCTTTCTTTGTTTTGCTTTGCTTTTTTTGTTGGTCCCGGGGTTTGAACTCAGGGCCTGGGCGCTGTCCCTGAGCTCCTTTTGCTCAAGGGGAGCACTCTACCACTTGAGCCAAGCACCACTTCCGGTTTTTTCCGTGATTAACTGAAGATAAGCATATCAAGGGCTTTCCTTTCTGGGGCTGGCTTTGAACCGCGATCCTCAGATCGCAGCCTCCTGAGTAGCTGGGATGACGGGCGTGCGCCAGCGGCGCCGGGCCGTGACAGCCTTTTGACGGTTAAACTGGGTCATTCTACTCATGGAGTGTAAAAGGGATGTCACCGTAGTCGGTGCGGGCTCGGAGTGAAGCGGGAGACGGAGGGGGGCCTCGGAAACGCGCCGGTCCAGGGCTGCACGCGGCCGCGGCGGCCTTCTGACCGCCCCTCTGCCCGCAGGCCGGCCGCTGCGCCTGGTGGGCGGCCGCAGTCGCTGCGAGGGCCGGCTGGAGGTGCGCTACCGGGGCCAGTGGGGCACCGTGTGCGACGACCACTGGGGCATCAAGAACGCCTTTGTGGTGTGCCGCCTCCTGGGCTGCGGCCGTGCCCTGCGCGCCCCAGGCCGCGCCCACTTCGGCCCGGGCACCGGGCTCATCCTGCTGGACGACGTGCGCTGCTCCGGCTCCGAGGCCGCGCTGGACCGCTGTGCCCACCCGGGCTGGGCGCGGCACAACTGTGGGCACCAGGAGGACGCCAGCGTGATCTGCGCAGGTACCGCCCCGCCCCTTCCCAAGTCGCCCCGCCCCGCGCCCCGCCCTACATCCCCTCCCCAACTTGCCCCGCCCCACGCCCCGCCCCCTCCCCAGTCGTCCCCGCGCCCCGCCCCTCCCTGAGTCGCCCCGTCCCACGCCCCGCCCCCTCACCGAGTCGCCACGCCCCTTCCCCCTCCCGCGGCCTGGGAGCCCGGTGTGGGTCTTCACCCAAGAGGAAACCTCCACGCACCCCTAAAGATAAATCCGTGCGTGCTCCCGCCACGACCCCACGCCCAGGATACAGAGGGCCTCAGTTTCCAATGGATGGGCCAGTCCTCCACCCGAGAAGAGCGGGCCTTTCCTTGTGCTTTCTTGACCGATATAGTCGGCAGATCGTAGTCGTAGGGTCACAATTTGTACGGATGGTAACTGACAGATGGTGTACGCTTTTGACAGGTCGTAGTCGTTGTGTGCCTTTCTGGACAGATAATAATTGTACATCTTTATAAAGAATGATGTGATGTGGGGCTTTTGTCGGTCATGGGGCTTGAACTCGGGGTCTGGGCGCTGTCACTGAGCTTTTTGAGCTACAGATCTACTTCTGGTTTTTAGGTGGCTAGCTGGAGATAAGAGTCCCAGACTTTCCTGCCCAGGCTGGCTTTGAACCCGTGAGCCACTGGCGCCTGCCAATGTAATGTTTTGATCCACTTATATATCGTGCTTTGATCAGGATACTTAAGCCACCCATCATTTGAGCATTTACCATTTCTTTTTTTTTTGGGGGGGGGGGTTCCGGTCGTGGGGCCTGAACTCTGGGCTTAGGCGCTGTCCCTCAGCTCTTCAGCTCAAGGCTAGCAAGCATTTACCATTTCTTAATGGGGAGAATGTTCAAAATCTCTCTTCTAGCTCTCTGGAATTATATAATGTATAACCACTTTTTATGTGATAATAGAACACTGAAATGTATTCCTCCTATTTGTAGCTGATAAGCAATCCCCCCCCCATCTTCCCCTCTCTCTCACCCTCCTGAGTGTCTGGTAATTCTCTACTTCTACGGGCTCAATTTTTGGTAGCTTGTTCCTTATTCTATTATGAAGAACTAGAAATGCGACCACCCCCCCCCCCGCAGTGAGAGTTTATTCATCAGTTTTATCTAATCCCATTTCAGTGAAATATTTGCTCTGAAATGTAGGCAAGGGATGATGAAGCCAAAGAAAATGGAAATGTCTTGAGATGATTAGGGGCAAAGAACCTGCTTCTTTTCCATCATTACAACTTGTCAGTTCCCTTTTCTATCTCAGAGGAAAGAACCAAGGTCCCCATCCAGAGGGCCCCTGCCTCACCTTGACCTAACCCTCAGGAAGCAACAGAACAGCCCACCCTCCTCCAAATATGCCCGAGTCCTTCCCATGCAAGGTGGGGTCTCTACCTCTCCTGGGCTTTATTTTGTTACTCCCACCTTTCTGTCTGACTTCTGCAAGCTCACTCTCCTTCACTTTCACCGTCTGCCATTCCTGGGAGGGTCCCACCTTCAGTGAAACTCCATCTTCTATTCTTAGACAATATTGCCCAACAGTACACACGAAGAGGTCTCTGTTATCCAGGTCTGTGGTGTCTGAAGGAGTTGGGGAAATCTGACTAGCATACTTCCTGGCCGAAGTCCTGTCTTCATTTTGAGCCTGAGAAACCCTTAATAGCTACAGACTCTTGGGATCCTAGCCTGAGGTCCCAAGCCTGCAGTGAGCACGGAAAGGGACACCAGCCAGGATCTCCCCTATCTGATGGCACTTGCTGCCTCTGAAGCCCCAGTTGATTGCTCTCTTGCTTCAACCAATCCTGGTGTTGATAGCATCCATATTTTCCACACTACTCCACACAGGCCGGCATGCAGCTCCGAGGAGGCCCGGGGCCTTTGCACGCCCTGGGATGCTCTCAGGCCTCGGTTCTCCAGCGCTGCTAGCTTGTCTGCGTCTAAATTGTCCACTTCCAGAGGCCCCGCACCACTGACATTTTCTTATCTTTACCTTTTCGGCAGGTCCGGAGGACTCTGTTGTACCCAAGGACAATGGTAATGTCATCTTCCTGCCTGGGACACAACATACAGAAAGTGGGGGACTAAAAGCAGACAAATGGGGAAGAAAGAAGGGAACCTGCTGGGAGCTCTTGTGTCCCTCATACTGGGCTTTAGGGGCCTGGGGAAGCAGCGTGTTCCAGGCGCGCTTTCCTCCTTTGTCTTCACTCCTTCCTTTTCCAGCTTCCATCCAAAGCTGGGGATAGATGTGTGTTTAGGCGTGGGTGTTCCCAACATGGGACAAGAGTGCCCTGGAACTCCTTGGACAAAGCTCTACCTCGCAGCCACGGGGCATATGCTGGGGCTAGCCTGAGACCTCAGAGGCTTTGGGGAAAGGAGAATGTTCATTGGAGTCAAGCCTTTGGTGCAGCGTAGAGACGGCGACCAGCCTCAGCCCAGAGCGCTGCTTTTATTTAGATGGTGAACACAGGCCCATTCCCTGACCTGGCTCTGGGACCCTGGCTTCTCTTCCTAATGCTCCCCCCACTCTCCCTGTCCTGCAGCCCAGCTTTCCTGCCTACCTCACCGCTTCCAAGCTGTCGTGGATCGAGGCTATCTGCGAAGACTGGGCTACTCTTCCTGGGATCTTCACTTAAACGATAACGCGTGTCGCCCCCATGTCACAGGACGCTACCTGATCTTTAACATTCCCTACGGCCGCTGCGGCACTGTCCAGCAGGTCAGAAACTGACTAGGAAGGCGCCCGGTGGATGGAGGCGGAGATGGGGCAGGGAGGGGCTTTCGGAACTCCACCCGCTGAACACCTTGTAGGAACTGGGAAAGGACACAAGCCATGAGCTTGTTTGAGTCTGGTGAGATCTAAAGTAGCTCATCATTTGTCTAGAACTTTCCTTCCTTTGAGGCATTAAATACTACCAAAGTCTGGCTAGGGATTTCAGGCCTCTAGCACACCAACAAGCTGGTGCTCAGCAGACGTGGGAAAGAGTCCCAGCACCCCAGCTTTCCTCTGATCCTCACAGGAACACCGTGGCTCGCTCAGCTACTCCAACTCCATCAGAGGCCGAGGGCGGGATCACCCTGGCCGCGTCATCGTGAGACACAAGGTGCCCCACCTGAAGTTCACCTGCAGAGTGGATGGCCCATCCACGGGTGAAGCTGGCGCCCGGGCAGAGGATGCCGGCTATGAAGTGTCCATTTCATTCATCCAGTCACCTGCATCCCCGCGGGGGAAAGGCATGGCACCTTATTATGCCGGTCAGGGGGAAGAGGTGTTCCTTGAGGCTACGCTCCAGAGCACAGATCCCAACCTGAGGCTCTCCGTGGACACGTGTGTGGCTTCTCCCAATGCCAGTGATTTCACAACCAACACATACGATCTGATCCGGCAAGGGTGAGGAAACTGGAAGGCCCTCTTTTCTTTCTTTCTTTCTCCTTCCCCCCGCCTCCCCCCCACCCCCGGTCGGCCTGTCTGTCTGTCTTCCCCTGGCATCACCTGTTCTAGGTTCTTCTCCACCCCCCCCCCCCCCCCACCCCCGCAGCCACCCCGCCCCACCCCAGTCCTAGGGCTTGAACTCTAGGCCTGGGCACTGTCCCTGAGCCCCTTTTTGTTCAAGGCTAGCGCTCTACCACTTTGAGCCACAGCGCTACTTCTGGTTTTATCTGGGGATTCATTGGAGATACAAGTTTCACAGACAGGACATTCCTGCCCCAGGGTTGGCTTCAAACTGCGATCCTCAGATCTCAGCCTCCTGACTACGTAGGATTATAGGCATGAGCCACCAGGGCCAGGATTTTCTGTTAGATTTTCATGGAATGCCTTAGGAAACTTGGAGTTGCTAAATGTAAAGTCCTAAATTGGAACTGTGTACAAAAATTCTAGTCAGGGGCTGGGAAGGTGGCTCAGTGGTAGAGTGCTTGCCTTGCATGCCTGAGGCCCTGGGTTCGATTCCTCAGCACCACATAAGAAAAAAGCCAGGCGTGGCACTGTGGCTCAAGTGGTAGAGCGCTAGCCTTGAGCGGAAGAGCTGAGGGACAGCGCTCAGGCTCAGATTTCAAGCCCTACAACCGGACCCAAAAAAAAAAAAAAAAAAAGAATTCTAGTCATACCCCACAGATCGAGGCTCATTGGCCCTCTGATCTCAGTTGGAGATTCTCCAAAGATACCTGGGCAGAGTCCTAGCTGCCCTGGACTCTTCTGCTCCACTCCACCCTCCCATAGGCAAGCCTCCCTTCCTTTCCAATCTGAGACCTCCAGTAGATTTTGCACTCAAGGTGCAGCCTTCTGGGCATCTGGCCCTTCCTGGTGAGCTGATGAAGTCCCTCAAGGTAGATGATGTCATACTAGTCAGATTTCTTCTGGCTCCCTTAGTTAATCCAATGATTTGCCAAGTTAGAACCGTGGCCAGTCGTTTGCCTTGATAGGTCCTTTGTCCCCTTTCAGGAGCCAAACGCTTATGAATAGGTAACTGTCAACCAGTTCATAAAAGACCAAAACACCTCCCTCACTTAATGGCAGCTAGAGCATAATGAGATCTTAGCAGACTGACGGTCCTAAGAGGCTTGGCGGTACCCACGTCCAGAGGCCAGGGGAGGCACAGACAGAACCTGTCACTGATAGGATGAGAGGTGCATTACAGCAGTAAACTGCACTGAGTCCCAGAGCAGAGAAAAAGTGCTTCCCTTTCAATCCCTTTTCTGAACATCTTAAGGCAAGAAATTAGAGTTAGTGCCCAAATTTAACAACCCACGATTTTTTCTGCTTGTTTTAGGCTTATTCTCCTTTCTCTATTTTTAAGGGTTAGGTTATTTTAGCTCTCTCTTCTCTAATACATTCAGATAGGGTTGCAAATTTCCCTTCATTGCATCATACAGATTTTGATTCATTTCACCTTCATTTACACTTAGTTCAAAAACATTTTAGAGGGCTGGGAAGGTGGCTCAGTGGTAGAGCGCTTGCCTTGCATGCATGAGGCCCTGGGTTCGATTCCTCAGCACCACATAAAAAAAAAGCCAGAAGTGGCGCTGTGGCTCAAGTGGTAGAGCACTAGCCTTGAGCTGAAGAGCTGGGGGCCGGGCCCAGGCCCAGAGTTCAGGCCCCACGACTGGACCCAAAAAAAGAAAATATTTTAGAACCTTCCTTGAGATTCCTTTGATCCACAAGTTCCTTTAAAGGTGCGGTGTCTGCTTTCCAAACATTTAGGGAGTTTTCGGAACTATTTCTGTCATTGGTTCCTAGTTTAATCTCATTGTTATGTGAGCGTGTTTTTGTGAATAGAGTTCTTTTCATTTGTTCAGATGTTTCTGAGGGTACAGAATATGGTCAGTTCTGAGGAAGTCCTGTGTGAGCGTAAGGAATTCGTGCATTCTGCTGTTGTTTTTGGGTGGAATGTCAGCTGGTTCCAGGGATCTAGCAGCGCTCTTCACATCACCTATATCCTTACAGCCTTTCCTCCTGCTGTACCCACCAATTACTGATGGAGAGACACTAACAATAATTCCAAGAGTATAGGCAGTGTGTCGATTTCTTTGCAGTTCTATTAGTTTTTGCCTCAAGTATTTTGATGGTCTGTTTGTAGATATGTATACCATCAGGACTATCATAGTAAATTGGAGGATCATTTGTGCCTTGATTATTTTGGTTAAGGATTGTCTTTCTTGGAAGATTTCATCTCTCTATTATTATACAATGTCCCTCTTTGATCCTGAGACTTATTTGGCTCTGAGGTTTGTTGTAAGTTAATGAAGCTACCTGCAGCTGTCATCTAGTTCATCTTAGCTTGGCACATCATTCCCTGTTCCCTTGCTTTCTCTGTGCCTGTATATTTAAAAAGAAAGTTGTACTGACAACATGTAGTTTGACATTTTTAGTCTGCTCGTCTTTTGTCTTTAAAATAGTATATCTAGACTATCCCTGTTTAAAGTGACTGCTCACAAGGCTGATGAACACCCACCATCTGCTCATACTGCATGTGTGCTTCGTTTAACCCTACAGATGCCATTGCTGCTGCCTTTGCTTATAATTGAGCATTCACATGATTCCATTGTGTCTCCTCCCTGGGACCCATTTACACATCTTCCCCCAGATTTTTCAGACGTTTCCTTGGGGTTTACCAACACATATTTTAAATAATCTAAGTCTACCAAGAAATAAGAGAACCATTACATAAAATCTTCCCTTTGGAACAAAAGAGTGTCAGCCTTCTGAAGGCAAGAGGTCTAGCTAAGACCTTTTCGTTTTTGTTGTGTTTATTTTACAGTCCCCTTCTACTTACAGCCAGGAGTAGGGGGTTTCCATTCATAGTCATACTAAAATGATAGTTCTAGTAGTTCCCTCATTGAAGAAAGAGTGAGTGGTAGGAAATCAATACATCTGGGCCAAGCCTGGTTACCGGTGTTTCAGCGAATCCATGTCATACTGAATTGTTTGGGGATTTTCTCCCCATTAGGTGCATCAAAGACAATACCTACACCAACCTGCACTCCGCCAAGAAGAATGTGGCCCAGTTCAAGTTCAATGCCTTCAGCATTCTCGACAGCTACGAAGTGATCTATCTGCAGTGTAAGATTGCTGTGTGCAGAGAGGGAGACTACTCTTCTCGGTGTTCTCAAGGATGTACAGAGCGCAGGAGGAGAGGTGCAGGCCCTGTGGAGGCCAAGGAAGAACAGACTGAGTATTTCCAAATGGTGGGGCCACTGGAGGTCCCCAGAGCGTCTGCTTACAGCAAGACCCTGGTGTGATTTTTTCCCCAGCTGTCATGTGAATCTGCCAGAAACTAGGAACCCAAATCTATTTCTTTCAGGGAAATACTGACTAATGAATCAAAAGTTATTCATGTAGAGCCTGGCTAAAGAAAGATAGTAGCTTTCTTTCCTGAGGTTTGTTACTAAATCTTTTCTGATTACTGAACTTTTAAAGCGGTTACTCTCTTGGTAGCTAAAAATGTTGATTTTCTAATTCCTCACTTCAAGAACTTGATCATTGTCTTACTGTGTGTAAATATTAGAAAAAGCAGGATTGTCTCCCTCTAATCCATAGTCAATTTAATTATTCTTGTTTTTAAGTTGGTATCTTATTATCCATGCTTTTCTGTAAGCATGCTTTTCTGTCCCTCTGGTGTTGTGAGAATTTATTTTGAGATCTTGCTAAGGGTCCTGCAGTAATAATAATAATAATAAACAACTTTAATGTCTGTTGGGAAGCCATTGCTCATTTTTCTTTAAACTCTAAGAACAAGACAGTTGAGTCACATAAGCCACCGATTCATCAAAAATTAGTTTTCATCGTTGTTTCAGAAGGCCTAACAATTTGGAGTTTGGGTTTCAGCTTGCAATCAAGAAGCTGAAACTCAAGGTAAGACTGAGGGCGCTTACTGAGCAGCCAAATGTTCACTCAATTCTAAGTCCAGGTCTCAAAGCTGCCAGGAAACCTGAAAAGTATACAAGAAATCAGAAAAGCAAGGATAGGCAGATCAGTATGGATAACAGCATCCTTCTGGAAAAGGAGCATATTAACTCCACAAGAAGACTCCCTAGCCTCAACGTTGTCTTTAAGGAAACAGACTTGAGCAGTGTCAGATATTTTCATTTGTCGGCATAGCCAGTAGCAATATCAAAAGTGTGTCCCCATCTCCCAGAAGTTATTGTGGTCTTTGTCAATAAACAGCATGTAGCAGATGAGACTACAGTACTGCCAAGTGGCGAGGGAAGGGGGAAGGCAGAAACGGGGCGCTAACCCTGAGGTCTTAAGAGATGAAAATCTGACAAATGATCCCAAGGGGGTACTTCTTCCAAGAACAACATCTCCATTTCATTACAAGCATACCCTTCCTCAAGAACTGTTTTGATTGAACAAAATAGGATGTTAGTATTTATTTGTATGAAGTTCTATGTATAAACATACCTAGAAATTGGTGAAATGTGAGTGGCTGGTTTGGTGAACAGAATGTCCTTAAACCAATGGTAATGACTTGGCCCCCAGTAGCTTCACCCTCAGTCACATGAAACAATGACCGCTTGCATTGGACATCTATTTCATGCAAATACTTTGAGGATTAAAGGAGTTTTTTCCAAGTAATTGTGTACTTCCGAAGTTTCTGCCTTCCAAAGATCATCTACTTATTAACTGTGCATATCCACAGGGTGACCAGTAATTAGAAACTAAACAGTGACCAAAATCTAGCATGTTGTGCCTCTAACAAATCCCCAGTGTAAACGTGCTAGTAATGGAAGCACTACCATGTAAATAATAAATGAATCAAAAAAGCTTCCAGATCAGTTCCTGCTGGCATGGCTCAAGGGGGGGGGGAGCCCAGGATGCAGCCCTCTCTGAAAGCATGCTGTGCAATTCTTTTATTTATTTATTTTGTTGGTTGTGGGGCCTGAACTATGGGCCTGGGCGCCATCCCTCAGCTCTTCAGCTCAAGGCTAGCATTCTATCACTTGAGCCCCAGCTTCACTTCCAGCTCTTTTCTGCTTATGTGGTGCTGGGGAATCGAACCCAGGGCCTCATGCATGCAAGGCAAGCACTCTACCACTGAGCCACCTTCCCATCGCACGGCAGGCAAATCTTAAGAACACTTAAAGCCATGGTCACTGGGGAGCCTCCCATGCTCCGTGGATCAAAACAGGGGGTTCAGTCAGGGAACACCACAGGTGTCCCAAGGAAAGCCTGCTCGCTTTCCCAGCAAAGGGGTGATCTAACAGGACAAAAACTGCTCTCCTCCAACCAGACACCAGGAACCCTAGAGTCCTGGCTTTCACCCCAGACTAGTAAAAATGACTAGGGAAACTAATTTCCTTCCTTCTCTCCACGCCCCTTCCCCCTTGTTTCATCCTCACCAGGATGAAAGCAGAGTGGAGACTGGGATGTGCATCACCTCACCTGCTTCCCTGAGCCTGGCACAGAGCAGGCAGGGAGCCTGGACCAACATGTCCGCCCAAGCTGTTTGGAGCAAACCCAAAGACCCTTGTCCTTGCCTAGCGGGATGAGGGAACGCCCCCATCAGAGCAGCGGAGGCCAGCCGGGAGCTCGGATTCCAGTTCCTCCCCTATATCTTGCATGCTCCTGGTACTCCGATTTCCCATCCCTTTGTGGGTCATCTTTATCTTTTTGGCGGGACTGGGGTTTGATCTCTAGGCTTGAAGTTTGCTAGGCAGGCCTCTACCACTCACATTCTGCCCTTAGCCCTTCTCCTCTGGTTATTCTTGAACGAGGCTCATGCTTTATGCCTGAACATCAGTCCTCCTCGCTACGCTTCCCACAGAGCTGGGGTGAAGCCCTGTGCCACCGGCCCAGCGTTTTACTATTTGAGCTGAAGGCTTGTGAACTTCTTGCCCAGAATGGTCTCAAACTTCCAATCCTCTTTATCTCAGCCTCCCAAGTAGTTGTGATTATAGCCATCACCACACATGTGTAGTCTTTTTGAAAAGTTTTGCTAAACAAGTCTCAATGCAGCCTAGCGGTAGATTGCCTTGTGAGGTATTCTGAAAATCTTGCTGGTCCCCTCGGGTAGAGTCGGTGCTGCACTTGGCTGCTGGAGTGTTGGTGGCTGTAGCTATCAGCGCCACTGCTCCCTAGGAATCCCCCTCAGCCCAAGACAGCTTTCCTGCCAGAGTTCATGGCCACAGTTTCAGCAGCCTCTGTCCAGTGACTGGGCCACAGAGGTCTATAAAGTTCTGAGCATCATGCCTCAATAGGGCATCTCTGAATACCCAGCCCAGCCCTAGGACTCTCCAGACAATGGTCTAGGTGTGCAGGCCCATTCACTGCAGCCTCTTCCTAGTTCACCTGGGGTTGGGGGAGGAACAGAGAGGGGGGGGGAGAATACAGAGTATTAATATCTATAGTTATCTCTAGCTCTCTCTATATAGAGATATAGATATATCTATTGCTAATCTATACCTATAAATAAATCCACATACATATAGAGATATATAGATCTCTATAGCTATAAATATAGATATACATATAATATAGATATAGAGATCTATAGATACAGATGTAGATATAGATAGGTATAGATCTGTCTATCTATCTATCTATGAGCATTCCAGTGGTTACCTGCTTCAGTTTATATTAGGTGATGAAGTAGAGTTGTATTATTCATCTAACATAATTAGCTTCCATCTTTTGTCCAGTGTAAACTCAGATCAGCTTAGAGTCTAATGGTTTTTGTTCTGCTTCATGTAAAGGAGAAGAGAAACATTTTTATTTCATGAACCCAGCAACTGCCTGCAGCCTCTGGCAGTCAGGTTGTTTCCTCTAAAGCCCTTCTCTGAGCTGGCCCAGGTGCGGAGCAGGAGAATGCTTGTCAGCAGAGAGGCTCGAGATGGAGGAGACTGTGGTGCTTTCTCCTGCACGTCAGTATCCGGTGGCAGCCTCTGATGTTTCAGAAGGTAGCATATTGCCCATTCACTGTTTACATTTTATATGTGCATGCTTTATTTGGCATATAAATAATAAAAGCATACAACTTTGAAGAATGGGGAAGTCACAATGATTAAACCTAGGGTCTTGCACTTGGTGGGCAAGCACTCTACCACTTAAGCTACATCTTCAGCCTTTTTGTTTTTATATTGTTTTGGAGATAGTCTTGCTAGCTTTTTAACCTGGATTGGCTTTGAACCCTCAATTCTACTGCCTTGACCTCCCAAGTCAATGAGATTATAGGTACATACTTCGTACCCACCACTTAAAGACTACTTTTCTTAAAAAAAAAAAAAAGAAGGAAAAGCCTTTTTCTTTCCATTTAATATTTGTTTCAAATGTTGTATTTAACCAAAAACAAACCAAGTTTTTGATTCATACAATGCTTTTAGTTTGTAAGATGAGAGCTAAAAGTCTTATTTGTCTGTGTGTTACGGTTTCAGATCCTTCCTAGTTTATTCATAAGCTCTGTAGCCATGGAGAAAGGTGCCGTCTTAGGAAAGGAGCCGTTTGTTAGTAGCGCTGCAGCTTCTCATATTTGTAGTCTTGGCGCTGATTCACAAAATGCCTCAGTGTGATGGTGGCCACAATCACAACATTCAGAGCAAGGACCACGAATGAAAACAGGTGCAGAGCATTGAAAGGCTGCTGTGGAATGTCTGCATGGGTTTGATGCAGAAGCCCTGCAATTGAATATAGATTTTTGCATATATTAGCATTATTTATAATATCTTTTTATACCATATGAATCTTTTATTGAGTTAATACAAAATGCATAGTTCCAATACCTCAAAGAGGAATGATTATCAAATGTTTGAATTAGCTTATATTTATGTTTAATTTTTACTTTATTTCTTTCAGATGGTTTGTTTAAGTTATGGCATGTATATCATAAGGAGTTAAGAAGCTAAAAGAAATTTGTAGAAATGAAGGATATAGACCTATATTCAAGAGCCATGGGAATGATGGTATTACCAGTGTCTCATATGCTTACACAAGGTGTGGCAATGGAAATAAGCATTTATCCTATGTGGTTAATATTCCTCACTTATTTGTTAGAACGTCTGGTATGACTCTCTAGAGTTCTTCTACACAGAGAAGAACTCAGTTTGAGTGGCATTTCTCACACCACAAGATATTCTTAGATCATGAAATAGCTTTTGTGTTACCTGAGTTTCCACTTCGATCCCTTTTTACACGGATGGGTCCTATGACGGAATCGGTCTTCCATTTGTATGAAGAAATGTCTCGTTTCTTTCTGGAGACACAGCCTTGGTGGCAGCGAGAATGGGAGTCATTGCTGTCACATATCAAAACTTTACACTGCAGATACACGGAGTTCAGACTTCGCAAGAATTTAAAGGCATTAAACTGGAATCTTCCGTAGTGCCCAAATAAGGGATACACCTCACAAGTCTCATCTCGACTACATCTAGAACAGAGTTTATGCACATATTTAGAAGATGCACAAGAATCCAAGTTGTGAAGTCTAAGTTGTAGATCTAGTCTTTAGAAAGTCTTCTCTAGAAAGGAATCTATGGTTCAGACTGTAGTAAACTAAAACTATGGACAGATTACTGGATGAAGTTCCTTCTAGCTCTGAAATTACATGTAAACTAATCAAAAAGCGATACCCATATACTAGTACTCAAATACCTTTTTCTTACATGTTTATTGTTAATGTATAAAGGTGGCTGATTTGGTCAAAAGGCCATCAGCTTGTATGGAAAAACAAGTAAACTTTTCCTTTCAAAGAGGAACTTTACAGTTTTCCTTTTAAGAGTTCTACAAGCCAGGCACTGCTGGCTCACACCTGCAATCCTAACTACTCAAGAGGCTGAGATCTGAGGATTGCAGTCCAAAGTGAGCAGAGGCAAAAAAGTCAGTGAGAGTTATCTCCAATGAAATACTCAGAAAAAGCTGTGAGTGGAACTGTGGTTCAAGTGGTAGAGCATTAGGCTTGAGCAAAAGAAGCTCAAGGACAGTACCTAGGCCCAGAGTTCAAATCCCAGGACCAGCATAAAGAAAAAAAAGAATTTTACACATATTTTCCAGATAACATTATTTCTAAAGATGGCATACATCAATGACTCTGACAGATTTCTATTGAAAATAAAATATACTAACCTCAAAAACACAAATAGAGCCTCCTTCACAAAAATAAATTTGTTTTCTACCATCAACTATTTTGTAAATACATTTAAAATCCTAGAGGATATGGATTATGTCTACACAGATGTTCTGCATTATTTGTAACTAATATATAGTAACTATATTTTATGAAATAGCCAACATAAATTTAATAAAATTCCATCATAGCAGCATTAGGAAAATTTTATCCACAGACGCACACGAATATATTACCTTATTAAAATAATTACTGCAGGGCTGGGAAGTTGGCTCAGTGGTAGAGTGCTTGCCTTGCATGCATGAGGCCCTGGGTTCGATTCCTCAGCACCACATAAGCAAAAAGAAAAAAAAGCCAGAAGTGGCGCTGTGGCTCAAGTGGTAGAGTGCTAGCCTTGAGCTGAAGAGCTGAGGGACAGTGCCCAGGCCCAGAGTTCAGGCCCCATGACTGGACCAAAAAAATAAAATAAAATAAAATAATTACTGCAGTGGGTCAAAGGATGAACCAATTCAGCAGTGATACTCACTAGACACTATGTTGAAAGTGAGTTGTGCAGCTTGATGGAAAGGGAAAAGCGGGAGAAAACAAGGGAGGGAGGGACGACTCAAAAAGAAATGCACTCAGGGGGCTGGGAAGGTGGCTCAGCGGTAGAGCGCTTGCCTTGCATGCTTGAGGCCCTGGATTCGATTCCTCAGCACCACATAAGCAAAAAGAAAAAAAGAAATGTACTCATTACCTGACTCATGTATCTGTAACCCCTCTGTACATCACCTTTACAATAAAATTTAAATTCAGAAAATTACAGGCAAGAAAGAAGACCAAACATCAATACATACCCACTCTTGATTAAGTCATAGTTTGGAGATGCAAAGTCAGATGTGGGAGAGGCTCTGCAGGTATCCAGAAACACCACCAAGTTTGGATCTGAGGCACTCAGACCAACTTGAACGAAGAGAGTTTGGTTCATATCCACATAATAGGGAGAGTTAAGAATAGGGTTTTCAAATGAATCTGACTCAAAGAGAACCATGCTCATGTTATATTTGCCCAGCGCATTTTGATATTGGATTACATCATCTTCGGTTATGTACATCACCTCGACAGTGGAATTGTATTCCATTTCACACTTCACAATAATCTGGAGATGTTTCTGACGCGTGATCACCGCAGAAGTTGGAGATACAATAAAGGTGATGATGTTGGTGTAAGTAATTGAATAGTCTTCGACCTACAAAGTCGGATGAAATTCAAATTTTGTAGTTTAAGTGCAGTATTGTTAGAACACAGATGTGAATAATACAGTGAGAGCCTTAACTAAATCATGAAATAATAGCTTTTAAGCATTAAATGTGTTTTTTTTAAAGAAGTACTCTGGGAAAAGAAAGACGTGAGATAAAAGAAGCAGTTAGAAAAGTTAAAGGTAGAATTAGATAGAATATTTGTTTCTGTTACATAAAAAACAATTTTGAATGTGATTTCCCAGGGCTATACAGACTTTAACCCCTAGAGTGTATTCCCTTCATAAGAAGTGCTAAGTTTACTGGACTAACTGGAAAATTCCCACAGGAATGCAGACAAGCTGGCCTATGAGCTCTCTGGGCTTTCTTCCCTCCTGTAATAAAGTCTCTGTGCTCCTTTCTGGGAGAAAACTTATTTACTTCTGTCCCTATCAATTTGTCTCACATAGTGTCTCTTCTTTTAAATTACAATGCTGTTTCACACCCTGTGTGAAAATTCTAGTGTGTGTCCTAAAGGAACCCACAGGTTGAAAAGATAGAGATCTTGGAAAGGATTTCTAGAGTGTACAGAACAAATTACAGACTTACAGGAAAGCTCACTTTATTGAAAATAAAGATGCTTTTACTCTTTGTCTTAGAAGGGAAAGAAGATCTTTAGCTCTACTTTTACTCAATATGGAATTATAAACATTTTCTGCCCAAGAGTTCCAGGTAGACCAGTTAATCCACACTACATACATGTTCAAATGCTCTCCAGTGGGTTTTCAGAGTTCCTGACCCACTGGGAGTAATAGCTACCTTCCACTTACCTTGCAGTAACAGAGACAATTAAGCACTGGTGTGTGAGTAAGTGTGTATATGGTTATGTCCACACATGCTTACCATGTGTTCCTTTAGCCACTGAGGGCCAGTGGTGATTTGGGGAAGTAGCTAGCCAGCATTCCACTCATGCATCACCAGAATGCATTTGGCATCTGCCAGAACCCAGCTGGCAGAGTCTCCTGTACCTTTTTAACTGTACCACATCCATCCAGAGGGATCGAAAACTCCACAACATTTGACACCTCCGGCCGGCAAGTTGGGTCATTTAGTTGTAAGTTATCCTCATTATAGTTAAAGGATTCTAGGTAGGATTTGCTTATGATAACTCTCATCTTGTCAGAGGCACATATTAAAGATGCTGTCAGGAAAACAAAGGTGGGAAGGAAATGAGTGACTCTGTGCAAGCTAAGAATTCTGGATATTGAAGATTTCCCTGTGGGCATGGAAACCTTTCTTGCCATAAGTTAGAAGCCTGGATCTCCAGCAATTGATACATTGTTTACAATATTCATTGCTCCCCTGGCTTGAAGTTCCAATCTATAAATCCAACAGTTTTAGTTATTTGTTTGCAGAAGGCATTGAGAAAAGTAGTCCCTATGTTGTGCAGAAATCTTTTTCAGATTAACAAAGCCATCATTCCCCTCCTGTATTACGCAATGCACAGAATTAATTTTCAAGGCGCAGATTTTCATCGTGCTCCCAAAGATATACATGACAGGCTAAGAGTGAAGGAGCAGTTTCTATGTTCGTTCAGAAAGCTCAAACTTGCCAAGGTGTAGAAAGGGTAACTCACTAGTATTGATGTTTTCTGTATAAACTGAAGTGTAGGAAGCAGAAAAGCCCCGGTAAGAATTGGCATAGTCTGTAGATAATACAACTGTCAAGGAGTCTGAGGAAGATTCGAAGGTGGGTGTCCCACGGCCACAGACTTGTCCAATCAGGCCAGCGTTGGTGGAAGAGCCGTCGTAGATGGCCACAAAATCAAATCTGCACTTGTCATCTACTTCTAGGCTACAAATAAAGGTCACAGTGTAAAAGGTTTTCCAGGCAACTCAGTTCTATGTTTCTGTCATCCCATTAGGATTTTTCCTTTCAATGCCAGGCTGATGATGTCAAGCCTGAGGCATTTTTAGTCCTGAGTGGAACCTCAGAATTTTTGTTTTTTGCTCTGGAATCAGGACTTGAAATCAGGGCCTCTTACTCTCACTTTTTGTTTTTTTGCTCATAACTAGCTGGTGCTTTACCACTTGAGCCACATCTCCAGTCCAGCATTTTGTTTCTTCATTGGAGATGGAATCTGGTGGACTTTTCGGCCCATGCAGGCTTCAAAACACAATCCTCTGAGCTCAGTCTCCTAAGGAGCTAGGATGACAGGCATGAGTCACTAGCTCCAGGCAGAACCTTTAGAGAAATAGTCATCTCATTGTTGCAATGGGTCCACCTGTATCCCTAGTTAAACGAGTTGTTTTTGTCCTTCCCCTCCACAAATGATACCAACATCAAATACAGTGAAAGCAGGGGTTATACCGTGGGGGAGGGACATACAAAGCAACATAGAAATCATCTTATGAATAAGTTAGAAACAATTGCATAAAAGAAAAAAAAACATTTGAATACATATCTTAGGGTTCATTCCCCTAACATCAATTTATCTGACCTTTTCTGCTTGACTCAGACATATGCTAGTTATCACAACTTTGCAGGGGGAGGATTGAGTGGGGGGAGGTGGGAGGAGTATGGGAAGGGAGGGATGGGAAGGGTAAACAAAGAGGAGGCAACAATGCTTGATAAGAAATGGACTCGTGCCAACCCAGATGCCCCTCAGTAGATGAATGGATCAAGAAAATGTGGTATATATACACAATGGAATTCTATACCTCCATCAGAAAGAATGACATTGCCCCATTTGTTAGGAAATGGAAAGACTTGGAAAAAATTATATTAAGTGAACTAAGCCAAGCCCAAAGAAACATAGGTCCCATGGTTTCCCTTATTTGCAATATCTAGTATATGTATGAGTCAAGCAGAAAAGGTCAGATAAGGTGATGTTAGGAAATTGAACCCTAAGATATGTATTCAAATGTTTTTTTCTTTCATGCATTTGTTTCTAATGCATTTATAAGATTATTTCTTTGTTGCTTTGTATGTCCCTCCCCCACAGTATAACCCCTGCTTTCACTGTATTTGATGTCTGTATAATTTGTGGAGGGGAAGGGGAAAAACAAGTCATTTAAATAAGGATACAGGTGGACCCGTTGCACCAATGAGAAGTACAAGTTGTCATGTCAAAAACAAACTTTACAACTTTGGTGGGGGGGGGGATTGGGTGGGGAGGCAGGGGGAGGCTGGAAGGGATGGGAAGGGGAAACAAAGAAGGAGGCTACAATGCTTGATAAGAAATGTACTCATGGGGGGGGAGGATTGGGTGGGAGGCAGGGGGATGCTGGGAAGGGCAAACAAAGGAGGAGGCTGCAATGCTTGATAAGAAATGTACTCATGGGGGGGGAGGATTGGGTGGGGGAGAGGGAGGATGGGAAGGGATGGGAAAGGTAAACAAAGGAGGAGGCTACAATGCTCGATAAGAAATGTACTCATTATCTTGCCCATGTAATTGTAACCCCTCTGTACAGTATTTTCACAATAAAAAAATAAAAATTTTAAAAAAAGAAATGTACTCATTATCTTGCCCATCTAATTGTAACCCCTCTGTACAGTATTTTCACAATAATAAAAAAAAAGAAATGTACTCATTATCTTGCCCATGTAATTGTAACTCTTCTGTAAGGTAGTCTCACAATAAAAAAAATAAAAAGAAAAAGAAATAGCTTCCTTGAATGCAAGAGCATTGCTATGTTTCCCTTTCTGCATCAATTCTTTGGAAAGAACTCGTACACGGAGGTTGCCTGTGGCTATTTCTCTTTCCCAAGTTGGGTCTTCCATCTGCCACGTGAGTTCACTGCATTTTTTCCCCCAAAAGAAGTGGATCATCATACTTACAAAATCTCCTTGAAGCTTAATTTTATCCTGTAACCTTTCTCTACTTGTATGTGCCATACACAGTAAGCCAGCTCCGGGTGTGGTTTTGGGTAATTAGGGCTTGTAAAGGATCCCTCCAATGTGTCCAGGTAACCTCCACAATCTGGAATAACTGCAAAAGATATGCAGGTGACTGAGACCCAGCGTCAAAACACAGATTTCCTGTAATTTTGCTGTTATATGCAGTGCATAACATGTCCCTGTTTCTGCATCTCTCACTGATCCCCCGGGTGGCATACTGAACTTCCTCCTTTCTTAGGACTTGACTTTTGATCCTTGGTACAGGGCAAAGAGAGATACTGTTGCCAGATGACTGAACTCATGTGATCTGTCCCAGGTATAGACCCTTTGCTCCTGCGCCGTAGAAGATAAAGTCAGTTCTCCAGACCAGTGCTGGAGGAGCACTGCCCATTAGAACACGACCCACTGTTTCAGCCTGCCTTTCCTTCCCTGGTCAGCTCAGGACTGCTGGCTCCAGCAGAGAGTTCTTTGCTATTACTTCCTCTGGCCATGTCTTGATGTGAAGCGAAGCTCAGATACAACCTTCGGCAAAACGTCTTTGGTACATCCGTGCTCCAGTGAGTACAGATTCAAACAATGGGAAAAATAAAGAGTAGAGGAGCAATAACAAAGGTTTTGTGTAGGAAGTATAAAATGGTGTAAGTAGGTAGAATACAAGGATGCCCGTCAGGTAGGTACTACAAGGCAGGTGTGGAAAGGAGGCCTTGGTGTAGGTTAGAAGAGTGTGAGGGCTTCACTTCAGAAGTTGAGTGGCATCAAGAAATCAATAGCTTCAGAACTAGTATGGAGATCACGCCCGGCCTCAAAAAGAAAACCAGAGTGAAGCTTTCCTTGTGAAATGCTCACTCGATTGACTTGGACTACAATGAAACGTAGGTAGGTACAGGGAAGGCAGAGCAGTGTAACATCTGATGTGTGAAAAGCAGGCCAGCTTTCCTCAGTACCTGAACCCTAACCTTGTTAGAATCACCCTGGAACCTGATACCTGTGAACGCCCAACAGCCCAATCCAAACCTAATGAATCATACCACCTTAAGAACGTTAATAGCTGACACTTATGAGAGGTTAAATGAGAATACAATGTACTAACTGTAGCATGGAATTTGGCCTGGGCTCACTGGCTGGGAACCAGCTATGGTTTCTACTCAGGAGAGTGGATTATCACCAATGCTTGGGCATATCATGCAGATCAGCCACAGCTGATGGCATTAACCTCTATTCAATCATCTTGACCTTGCACAAGGTCTCAGGGTTATTAGGAAACAGGCTAACCATGCAGATTCTGCTTTGAGCTCTAACACAGCATCATTCAACTACTGGCAGCCTCAAAAGGAAGCTGGTTAGGAAGAAAACTTCCTGGGCTTCTTTAGAATTTTCGCCAGAAAATTCATGGGCACCGCTAGCACAAAGAAATCAGAATCTCACCGTTGAGGCCCACAGCTGTGATTTTTTGCACACTCACACTAGCAAACTGCTCCTCTCCCAAGCAGAGAGGTCTCTGAGTGCACACAGTCCGACTCCATATTACAATAACCCAGGCCGGAGTGAGGACAGGCTGTGTGTGCAGGAGGAATGGCCAAAGGATACATCAATGAGAGCTCACCTGTGCCAGAGTCAAAGAAGTAGTAGAAAATAAAGACCGTTCTTTGGGTCGTCGACTTATCGGTGACAATTTGCACTGTCAAGGAACTGTATGACGATTCAAAGATGGGAACGAAGTCTTTCTTGCTGCAGACCTGACCTAGCAGAGGGCCAGTGGTAGAGTTTCCATCAAAGACTTTAATGTTCTCATTGTCACACGTCCCTTCAGGATCCAGCCTGTGGACAGAACACACTCGTGGCTGGAGGAGAGCCACTGGGAAAGTGGGTTTCACAGAGCTCCTGTTAGCACAGCTATGTATGCGTCAAGTGGTGAGCATGGGCGTCCCTTGACGCCTCTCCAAGACTGCCATCTTCTCCATCTTCAACCTGAGCCTGACTGCTGTCCACACCTTCTATTAAGTCAGCGATGACGAAGGGGCCAGGAGCCAGGACAGATGCCAGAGAGTGGCATCTGCCACTCCCACTCCCCACAGTGTACACTATTGACTCGGTTTATATATAAGCTGCTAAGTCACAACTGATCCTCACTGATGTCTGATATCAAAGGCTGGTCAAAAACAGCTCTTCTCGTCTCCCATGGCTACCTCTCTCAAAGGAAAGCTAACAGTCACTCCTCCCAGCTACCCAACCCCATATTACCACTTCCTCATTCTGAACAACAGTCCCACACTGTGTTCAACATGGATGCCCAGGATTTCCTGTTTGGGCCCCTTCTGACAGTATCTCCCCAAAGGCCAGAGGACATATACCCATGGCTTAGAGAAAAGGCCACAGGGTAGAGTTCTGCTTTCACCCTAGACACTCACCTGCTGTGTACGTTTGCACAAGCACCTTAGCCTCTCTTGACCTTAGTTTTCTCTTCTGTAAAGTCAGGATGTCACATTGTACTTTTACTCTAGTGTGAGTGTCTATCCTCACATGAAGCAGTCACCACAGGCCCGGCTCTCAGACTGTATCCAATATCCAGTGCTAAATCTCAACGTCTACCAACTTTGTTCTTCCCACACATTCGTTTCCCCTCCTTATACATTGGAAATGACATCTATGTTTCTTGATTTCGACCATGCTAGGAAATCTGTATTTCATTGTGAATCAGCACTGCGGCTCACCCCCTTCACTTCATGGTGGGTCATCCCAGCTACAATGCTGGAAGAGCAGGGCTCTCCAAGTGCGGTCTCTGGACCAACAGCACTTCAGTAAGTTCAGAATTGCTTCCTATGCAAATTCTCAGGCACCACACACTCATCTGAATAAGACAGTGGAAGCCCCGTGGTAGAGCTCTCCCTGTGTGCCTTAAGGTGCACTCCAGGAGCTTGGGATCAACAACATAATAACCAGCAGGGGAGGGGAAGCAAAGTAGGGACTTGGGAGTTAGGACACCAGGTTTCCATTCTCCTCCCTCGACTCCCTGCGGGCATATTAATTAATCTCATTAAGGGACTTAATCTCATTAAGGGACTTTTCTCTCTGTGTGTGTGTGTGTGTGTGTGTGTGTGTTTGCTGGTCCTGGGATGTGTGTGTGTGTGTGTGTGTGTGTGTGTGTTTGCTGGTTCTAGGATGTAAACTCAGGGACTGAGTGCTCTATGTGAGCTTTTGTGCTCCAGGCTAGCGCTCCACCATGTGAGCCACAGTTCCATTTCCAGGGTTCTTTTTTCCTGCTGGTTAATTGGAGGTCAGAGTTCATGACGTTTTGGCTAGGCTGGCTTTGAACTGTGATCTCAGCCTCCTGAATAGCTTGGATTGCAGGAAGGAGCTACCAGTGCCCAGCTTCTCTGGGCTTTCCTATCTACAGGATAAACTGTGGCTGCTGGAGAGGGCTGCTCTCTACAGAGCACACTCTAGCAGAACCCCTCTGCTAGGTCAGGTCTGCGGCAAGAAAGACGTCGTTCCTGCTTTTGAATCATCATCCAATTCATTGGCAAATAGTCACTGACACACAACCCAAAGAACTGTCTAATGTGACTCCACGTCAGATTTTTACATTTGTAAAAATCACCTGAATATCTACTTCCTTCAAAATAAAAGTTGACATAAAGAATACTTAAGACTGTAAAGAAATCTGTTTCTTACCCCCCAGAGACTGGTCTAATTACCTGCAGTACCACTGGTGAATTTGGGCTTTGGGAAGGACCCTTGATGGTTCTAGAACACACCAAATTCTAGAGTTTTCAGGCCTAGGCTCTGGAACTGGATGAGCTGAGTACTAACTGCGCTCATTCCACTCACTGTTTACGCAATCCCACAACTTTTCAACCTCCCCGTGTCTATAACCCTAGTAGTGACCACGCAGGACCTTGGCAATCCTGTGAGGGGCATGTAGTCATCTTCAACCAACATCACTACCAATATACCAATATCACTACTATTACAGCACCATCACCAATATCATCATCAGTGACTATCAGCCAATAGCATCACTGTAATCGCTGTCATCAATTGCCAGCAATCATCTTCATCACTATCATCATGATCAATTGTTATTATCATCCTTATCATCATAACTACCATCACCATTATCTTTGTTACCACCAGCACCAGCACCACGACGCTACTCATGCCCATCATCATAATCATTTCAGAAACCATGAGCCATCTTCTCTTGTCATCATGAACATGATCGGAAACTTTCGGACACCATCACCATCATCATCATCACCACCATCATCAGGATGACCACCCCCTCCAGTAGTATTGAAATCCTTTCCACAAAGACCCCACCCCATGGCCCCCAATGTGGCCACAAGTCAAGCGTCTTCCTAAAACGCTGAAGCCTCTACTCACTGGATGTGGGAAAAGATGATTCGGAGGTTCTTGTTTTCCGGTTTTTGTATTGTCCAGACGCAGTTCTCATTGGCACCGAGTTGCAGGACCAGGGACTTGTGGGACTCTCCCAGGTTGTTCCCTCCCAGACTGGCCTTGCAACTTGATCTGCCTGCAGAGACCATAGTCAGCACTGAGGCAAGTTAGCAATCCTTGCCTCCTCCAGCAGTGTCTGGGTCTCTACCACATACACATAATACCCATCCACGTGTGCAGTTAAATTGGACTTCACCCTCAGCCTTTTGGGGAAAATATTTGTGATTTCTCTACATATGGTACACACACACACACACACACACACAGAGTTTTCCAGGGAAGATCTAGTGATCAAAAAAAGCTAGCTACGGCTAGTAGAGCAAGTCTCAAGTTCAAATGACAGTATGTGGAAAAGTAAAAGAAAGCTCTAGTTATATACAGAGTTTTTAATTTTCTTTTTCATTTGTGGCTGAATATATATATATAAATGTATATATAAAAGTCTCTGAGTTGTGTTTACCTGAAAATAACTATGCATATGCTTATTTGGAAAATATCAGAACTCAAAGACAATCTTCAAAGCACAACTCTGAAATCCTGTCTACATAGAATTAATGTATCCAAATTTTTTTCTCTTTTCTTGTCTTCATCCAGAATGCAATTTTCCACTTAATTGTAGATTCTAACAAATCCTTTATTTAGAGATTAATATTATCTTTAAACCTTGTTGAAAAGTGTTCCTTTGTACAGATTTTCCGTAACGAAGCCAATAATGAAACTTTGTTGTTAGATGATTTTAAATTATGTACATGTGCATATTCATCTACAAATATTTTCGACACCTTCATGATCCTTTCCTGAAAATAAAGTCTTAGTAAAATTTGGCATGCTTTTTCTATTTCAACATACCCTCACAAATATGCCTGAAAAATATTAGTACTAGGGGCTGGGAATGTGGTTTATTGGTAGAGTGCTTGCCTAGCATGCATGAAACCCTGGGTTCAATTCCTAAGTACCACATAAACAGAAAAAGCTGGAAGTGGTGCTGAGGCTCAAGTGGTAGAGTGCTAGCCTTGAGCAAAAGCAGCTCAGGGACAGTGCCCAAGCCCCGAGTTCAAGCCCCAGGACTGGTCATATATATA